ATATAATAACATGACACAATGAAAAGGAGTAGATAAAAATGACCATAAACAGGAACCCACATGGCGCGTGGCCCGATACGTACTTGGCCGGTTCTTCACTTAACTTCACATAACAAATCATACACGGGGGGACGATGAAATTCATGTACCGGACGTCGACACGTCATTAACACCATCCTCACAATCGCCGTTACCAGACACACCGATTACAAGCGCAGCCGCGCACACATGCATGACTCATACATAACAATATATATATATACTAGCTGACCCAGCGAACTTCGTACCGCCCTAAAAAAATAGGGGTTGTCCAGCGGACAAAATTGTGAATCTAAACCATTCTCAGATCCCCTTAAACACACACAAAAAATTTCATCAAAATCGGTCCAGTCGTTTAAGAGAAGTTCAGTGACATACACACTCACAGAAGAATTATATATATAAAGATATAAATATAAATATTTCCAACACTCACACCATTTAGTAGGCTTGTGTTATGGAATGTTATGGGGTAACGGACAGAATACACATACTTTACATATAAGTATATTTATATAGAAATACATATCAATCATCCATGACTGAAGTACAAATGCTCGTATTCATCACACAAACATCTGCCCCCACTGGGATTCGAACTACTGAATTCGCAACATGAAACCCGGCGTACAAACCACTCGGCTACGGAGGTCGTCAAAAAATGATAGATCAGGAGGTAGGCCTATTCGCCAACTGCTTTTGACAGATGGAAGTGATAATCACCGGGCTATTTGGTGATCAACTACTGCTTTATTATAACGCCACTAAGATACTTGTTCTGAAAAGCATTGATGGATATGCAATTTTATCTTTAGCTACAAACTCTAAAGGCCCGTATTATAGACAGATTCTCAGTGATTGATCTAGTCTTGAGCATAGTTATATAGCACATAGCGACGTCCCTTTCTAACAGTACTCAAGTAAAGAAAAACACTTAGGTGTCATTCTGTAATACGGGCCTAAATGTTAAATAAGTTAGCAAATAGGCCGGCTAATAATGTATTCTATTTCTCCTTGATATGTAAACATAGCAATCATTTATATAAAACAAATATTTTTGCTGCTCACTCAGGAACTTTGATTTTAGCTAATTATTTTTTTGTCCTTTGAACCATTTGTCTTTAGACTACGAAGACGATTTTTTTTCGAATTGCAATTCGGCAAAGTGCCAACGAACTAAGTAGGTAGGTACTTAGGCTAATGCGTGTCGCATCCACGGAGGCACACGGAAGTATGTATTAGCTCAATTTTGCTACGGTTGTCGCTTTTGTGATTTGGCAGAGGAATGCAGGGACATAGTGTTTCTTGTAATATGTTATTTGATGGGTATTAGTCACTTTTCATAACAGTAATATAGTACCTATCTAATGCCGCTGCTTAAATACTAAATATAAAGTTAAATATAAAATTTATTGTAACTATATATTTATATTGTAAATGATGTAATAGAAGGTGACTTCAGACGTATCTCTGAAGTCATTTTTCAACTTGACGACTCTGTATATAACAATACAGGGAGAAAAAAACAGCCCTTGCTGAGTTTCTTGCCGGTTCTTCTCAGTACAAGGTCTCCCGCCGTAGTTTTGCGAACAGATGGCGTAGCTATTTGACCGTCACAAGTGCTTGTAACAGCCTAGACCGAATAAAGGACTTTTCATTTCATTTCATTTCAATGGAGAGAGCGGAGGTGGGCACATCCAACAGCAAAACACATGTAAAATCATATTCATTGATTTATTATCATTATAAACTATTGAATGGGAACACAAATTAAACTTATTTAGATCATTACATATAAGATTACGTCCGGCCATTTCTAGGTGTTCCAAGGAAGAGGAAACGGAACAACTTTGAGAAAGTATTGTCAGGTTAAAAATATATTAAGGGTATATATACTACATACAATTTGACAGGCGCAACGTTAAGGTTAAACTAACATACAGTTTCGCAAGTCATTAAAAATCCAAAAATTTATAGAAACAAAATATTTTTTTTACTATAAATAAACGATAGACATTTCGTAGGTATCATGCTTTGTCACCTATCCCGTAAACGTAGCAGTACAAAAATTAAACCAAAGAAAAAAAGTAACGTAACGTTGATTTTGATTGCTTTCTCGAAGGTGGTAATTAGAAAATTAGCGATACTTACTAACTACACCGTGGATACTTTTCGAATTAAATAAGCTATTGAAATAATCCTTAAAAGGCAAGGGTAATTACCAAAGACGTCATCTCAGGCGCATACACACTTAATTTTAGGCAGTTGTCTTACTGCCGCGGCGCGCCGGCGAGTAGGCGACGAACTATCGACTATTTTCTCGCGCAAGAAACGTACAACGTACGGACAAGGTTACTTAACAAGAAATCTAGTTTCCCACATCCACACATGGTTCAGAAATCTTCTAAATAACCCGATAATTAAGAAAAAACCTGTTTTTTCTTAATTATCGGGTTCACTGTTTCAGCTTTACATATAATAATAAACTTTATTTCTCACCATAATCTTGTGATTATTGTGTACACAATGTAGGTTTTGATGGCTACATAACAACAATGTTACGAAACATGCTATTTTTTACCACAGGTAAGTATTGATCAGATCATGGTGGATTGACAACTGAACTAGGATGGATCCTGTCTCGGATAATCAACCCTCAGCCCCATTCATAATGTTGTGCACTATTTATTACACAATTTAGTAATCCAGTAAACTGTTTTAAGTTATAAATTCAATGGAGGAGTTTATTAGTTGTTTGTGTGTGTGTACATATTCGTGTGTGGAGTGTGTATCTTATCATGTTCAATTTATTATTTTTAATATATAATCCGTATTTTTATAATATGTTTATAATATATCTGTCTCGTCAATCAAGTCAATCAGTCAATTACTTGTCAACTCTTACGATAATATGGGACCATCTCGCCAAAAAAAAATTAAAACATAAATGAAACGTAAAAATTGAACCCCAAATCCCGGAGATAATAAGGGCGAACAACACCTCAACTTTTGAATTCGGAATCTCTTCCATATTGGAGTCGGATAGAAAGAAACCATAGACATTGGAATCGTATGGATATGTGGACGCGACCAACACGACTACGCGACTCAACGCCATATTTTTCTCGTTCACTTTTTTTTAAGAATGCGTGCCGCGGGCCGCGGGGCGGTTCAGCCAAGTGGCACTTGTTCCAACCCCAACCCCTTCGCTAAAAATCAGCAATGGCGGCACAACCGAGACCACCAACCAGTCATATTTCTTTCATTATTTTTTATTCTTTAGTTCTAAAAAGGCTTTGAAAGCGAAACCCCTTTCTATAAACGCCGCGCCGCTAGCTGTAATTTACACCAGTGTGGTTTTACTAAATCGTTTAAGCTTGCTTATAATAAACTTTAAATAACTTAAATGCGGTCCCGTTTTTGAATGAGTCGTTTTGTGTTGTCATTTGCTCATTTTAGATGGCGATACATCTTGTAGTAAGGTTGCCCACTTGAATTTTTGAGCCTAATAAAGTTGCGTATTTGCCTCGTAACTTGTGCAAAGAAGGTAAAGAGTGGATTTAAATTTAATTGATATAAGTATGTACAACAGATCAAAGTAGTCATAAAAGTGAGAAAATACTACACTGCGCTTCAAATGCAGAAAGTTTGTCATTCGTTACACCTCAGGGACTAATAAAAATTGCACAAGCAAGTGCAGGAAGGTATACTTAGAATGCCAATGCCATGCATTTATAAAGGCAAAAATTAGTAAGTATTAAATAATAAAAGAAACAGGACCCAATTTAATATTTTATACATTTTTCTTAGATCTACAATCTATTTTTTTAGAGAAAAAATGTCTAGTAATACCTTCTTTAGATTTATAAATCTAGCTGTTTAATGATTAAAATAATAATACGTATAATAAATAAATTGCATACAAAATTCAAGCTGATATGAGTAACGACATTTTTAACGAATTTTATAGCTTGACTACTGGCGTATCTAAAAAAAAATAAAAAGCAAAGGAAATACTGATGAAAGGTACGAAATACTTTCTGCACGCTATAAAGGTAGTTTAATAATATGGAAAAATTACATTTTTGGGCAATATGCACTAATTTATTCGATCAAGGAAGGAAGGAATTGGTGGTTTTTATTTCTTATTTATTCAGTTTTATTTTATTTTATAAATAAAGCGCGAATTAAAGGTCTTAAATAACAAAAAAATCACTGCTGAAATCAAGCCAGTGCCAAGCTAACCGAAATAGTAAATGGGAACAGATCTATCAGATTTGCATGGCACCGACTCCATAGATATGTTACTAAAGATAAAAAAAGTTCATTATTTTTGACTTTTCGACGGTCTATTTTTTTTTGTTAATAAGTTTTTATTATACAATGTGTAGTGGCTATAATTTTTATAATATACAACTCGGCATCAAAATCTGTTAGTGAACAATAAATCCTTCCCTGTTTTCATATCCGAACCAACTTCGGGACCTTTCCAATAAAGAAAGAATTATCGAAATCTGATAACTCTTTAAAAAATTATGCTTGGTCATAAGTAAAAAAAACACATAAACGCATCGACACTAAAACCTCCGCCATTTTTTAAGTCAGTCAAAAAATTTAAAGTAATTTTGACTATATTTTGAATAAAAAAAAAAATGTGTGTGTCAGCTCCGATGCACGACTGGAGTTTACTCCTTAAGTTCGATAGTCTAACCAGACGCAAAAAAGAGTTTATTTAACTTAAAAACGATTTATACTGTATGAAAGGATAAATTAACAAATTAATGAAAATAATATACATATATAAATATATAAGTATTTAAATCTAAAGAAAATATAACTAGAAAAAATTCCACGATTATATTTTCTTTAGATTTAAACATCAAGCAGTTACATGCTTTAAAAATAATAAAAATTATAAATATAAGTATTTATTCATTTCATATTCATTTATTATAACTAATCGACGAAATATTTTACATTAAACTTTTTACAATAGTCAATTTCAGATGTGCATAAATATATCATTAGGAATGTTGATAAATTATGTAAGTAATTATTATTATCAGACTATTATCATTTTTTTAAATATTATTTAAATCAACATTGTCTGCATTATTAATTACAGTGACAAGTGGTTTATGGTAACTAAAATAAGACATATGAACGTTCGTAGATACGTGGTTCACGAATCTTGAAAATACCGCATCAATGGTTGTACCATACCTCGTTGTCCCCATTGCTCTATCAGAAACAATATCTAAATTCAGTTCAGATTTTAAAAATTTCATTAATGTCAATCCGTCATCTTTGTTTGTCAAAGTTGCGCGTCATAGGATGCGCACCAAAAACGTAACGAGGTCATTCATCGATAGATTTTACTCCTCACATTTTTCTCATACCGGGCCCCTTATATATGCAAATCGATTCTTAAGGAGTAAACTCCAAAAATCTTGCATAAAACTTTATATTCAGGAAAAAGTATTGACGTCAGATGGATTTTCAATTCTGCCTTGTCAATAGACAATCTAATAAGATTAGCAGGGATCTCCGGCAGACCACGGAGTTTTTTTTTTGAGAGTATAAATTTTCAGAAATCCCGCGGCACGCTGCACATCTCCATCGGTGGCCGCCGATCTTGCTAAATATCGATTGAAATAAATCTTGTTAAACTCTAATAATAATGTTTTGACATTCTTGCATAAACATCAATGTCAATTTAACTCTTGTATGGGTTAAGTATATCTAGATTTAGTTTAGCAGATTTAGCAAATTGTTGCAAGTCGGCCTACGACCAAAAACACGTGTGAATAATTAAACCAAATATAGCGAATGAGTATACGTTTCACGTGTAATATATATATTTCATATAGGTATCTACGTTTATCGACTTTTTACAATACAATGTTCTAGTTGTGGGGAAAAAATTGTACACAATATTTTGTATACTTTACCTTGTATCTCTGATATGTATTTATTTATGTAAAAGTAATATAATGGTTGAAAAGTACAATTTTTGTCCTTAAGGATAATAATAAACATGAACATAATCATATTCATCCTGCAAAATACTTTGGCATCGCTTAACAAAGCATCACGTTTCCTGGATTTGTGGGTTTGTGACTGATGTGAGGTGATGGTAACAATAAAATCATTTATTTGTGTGCGTGGACACCTTCAACATTCTCCTGTGAGCGTAACTCACAGGAAAATGAATTGGGCACGCATTACCTCGCTTGTTTTGGTTAAGAGACGGCTTCTAGGCCTTTTATTGTAAGCCTTAACCGTACATTTATCATCACGCTATTAATGCGCCCACTGCTGGGACGCAGGTCTTCCCTATGGACAGAAGAGGGGTCAAGTCATGTCATGGCCCTTTTTTTGTCTGGGAAATGCCTTACGCATCCTGCAACTACCGGGGGAGCGAGAAGAAGGTATGTGGGACTCCCTGCTCATTACAGCGAGCCCTTGAGCCGGGTGAAATGAGCAGGCCGTACTACGCCCTGAACAGGGCCACTTAAAACCAGACAATACTCCTGCACCGGTCACCCGGCGTACATTCTGAGGACCGCAGTGCCCCCAATGCACGCCGGGAGTGCGAGTGTGGTCGCGACAACCGTTGCCGACTGTCTGCGCACCCGCAAGGTGATTGTCCGCAAACGGACCCACCCAGATGAAGATGCCCCGGAGTTTTAGGGGCATCAGCATCCAGAGAGATGCCATGTCATGACCCACCATGAGGACCCAGTGCAGATTTTGGTTGCTGACGACTGCAGATGCAGCCAGGATCAACGGCACACGTAAGAACTCGAGATCACAAATTTCTGGTCACCGATCCTTTGAACGGCCATTGCTAAAGTTGTGTCAATTCGACGACCTCCGTGGCCGAGTGGTTTATACGCCGGATTTTATGGTGTCGCCGACTCAAGAGGTCCCGGGTTCGAATCCCGGTAGGGGCAGATGTTTGTGTGATGAATACGAGCATTTCTACTCCAGTCATGGATGTTTAATGTGTATTTCCATATAAATATACTTATATATGTTCAGTATATGTATTCTATCCGTTACCCTAATATCCCATAACACAAGCCTTACAGTGCTTACTTTGGGGCTAGGCTAATTGGTGTGAGTGTTGGAAATTTTTATTTATTTATTTGTTTATATTTCCACGATCGCAGACAAAACACACTAAACAATGCGCCATCGAGCTGCCTTATACACCACTATCCCTAAGTATTTATATTTATGCTAAACTTGGCCCAATCTCCCTTTTCCATCCATAGGGAAGGCCTGTGCCCCAGCAGTGGGAACATTAATAGGCTGATGATGATGAAGGTAAGGTTTCCAAACTCTCCGTGGAGTATAAGAGAATTCGATCAAGGCTAAGTACAAGTAGGCTGGATAATATTTATGAAAGTACAATACATACTCGCCGTAGAATAAAAAGTTACCAAATCGACATATGGCCAAAATTGAGTTAGAAATATCATCAAAATTACCAAATTTCCTTATGTATGTCAACCTTGTATCCATATCCATGTTTAATGACTAATACTTCTGATTTTACACCGTTGCAAAAAACACTAGTATGTTTACTTTTAGGCTACAACACATTATCTTAGTCAAGTTAGGTAGTTCCCTTTTTATAAAATAAATCATAGCTGGAACATACTGAATTCACGGCAAAATGAACTAGGTACAATGACTTAATAAGTTTTAGAATGGCTGGTTATCCTTTTTATAAAGGACCCAAACAGAGATAAAGGGTCACTAATTCTATTCACAACTTGTAAGCTAAAAATGTTAATACGTATCTCCTGAATTTGAAACCTCCATAGTAACTCAAAACATGTTGTGACCTACTTGGTGACTTTTCGTTCTACGGCCATTCAGAGAAATCATTTTTTGTGCTTGATTGATTACTTATTATAATCACTTTTTCCTTTAAAAACTATAAGTAAGATGTGTTGATAACCTGTTTAGAATGTAATTTTTAATAAGGTATAAGTGTGTGCGGAAATGTATGTTTCATTCATTTATCCTACATTGATAGTGTAAATGAAAATATGTCACGCTGTGCGCATCCTACAGCTGATAATAATTATGATATCACATTGGTTTTTGTGCTTCTTTGTTGTATAAGATTGTTTTCTGGTCGGCCTACGGTTACGAATATAAGATATCAGTTTATATTTTTCTGTATTTTTTCTAATACAAAACACCAGAAACTCAGTGCTACAGAACCTCCCTTCAGTTTTGTAGTATTGATTTTTTTTAATACTTTAGTTACATTTCAATGCAAACTTTTAACTGACCTGCATAAATTTAAAGACATTACACATTTTTAATCTCATTTTGCTCATGAAGGGGAGAGACTTTGAGAGGTTGTGTTGTGTGACAAACTTTAGTAGTTACCATGCGTTTGACATACACAGCCACTGTAATGGCTCTTAGACAGACGAAACTTACACACACAATCTTTGACATCAGAAATCAAAAGCATCAGAGATTCGGCCTAATCAGTAACAAAAAAAAACAAAAAAAGCATGATCGCTCACAAAATCACAATATCTCTATTACTTGATTTGCTGTTAGGTATTTAAAGCTGTAACTTGTACACCAGTTCACTCCACTTTGTTAGTAGTTGTGAGGTCACACAATAACAAAACCCCTCTGTTTATAAATTGATTATTGCATTATCGACACTGCCCTCCCATAATAGGAATGCTTCGGCCGTTCACTGTGCTTACGCATCCGTCATTCAGTAGCCAAGTAACATTCACTTGAGCGCGACGTTCGCATGATGCGTTTACAAATATTTTTTTCGATATTCACCTCCGTTATCTGCTTGGACGAGACATACCAAAACAAACGCGCGAAACTTTTGAGCGATGAGTTCAAACTTACTCTCGGCGGAAGCCTCAATTTAACTGACAAAGAAGGGGAAGTAAACAAATGCCTAATGCAATACAAAAACAAGGAATTGAACTACGCCTTCGACCATCCAGAGTATTATAACCTGTCGCACCATTTCTTCACTTACAAGAAGAAGATACGAGAATCGAAGGTGTACCAAATAATAAAAGATCTGCCGAAGGGTGCCGTGCTTCATGTACACGATATGGGGATATTGGGTCCCGATTATCTGATGAACGTGACGTATATGGACAAGTTATATGTGTGCTTATCTTATCCAGTGCAGTTAAGGTTCGCTGAGAAAACGCCTAAACTATCTTGCGCATCGTCGTGGCAGCTCATGAGTGAAGCTAGGCGAAAAACGACTAACGTTACCAAATTCGATCTAGAGTTAAGGAAGTTATTTACAATTGTTGTTGACAATCCCGATGTAGTCTATCCTAGTATAACGCAATCATGGGATGTTTTCATGAAGTATTTTCTCACTGTGTCGCAGATGTTGTCCCATAGACCTGTATGGGAGCAATACTTCTACGACGCCCTAAAAAAGTTCAGAGAAGACAACATCATGTACGTGGAAGTCAGAAGTATCCTACCTAATTTGTACGAACTGGATGGTACAACTTACGGCCAAATTGTGACTGCAAAAGCGTATAGAAAAGCGATAAACAGATTCATGAAAGATTATCCAGATTTCATTGGTGCTAAACTGATTTATGCACCGCCAAGAAAAGTCGATACTGAAGCGGTGAAAATAGATTTGGATTTAGCGCTTGAGATTAAGCATAACATGCCGGAACATTTCGCTGGATTCGACTTGGTCGGTCAAGAGGATAAAGGGAAACCGCTTAAAGATTTTGTGCCGCAATTGGAAACAACTGCAAAGGAACTCAACTACTTCTTTCACGCTGGAGAAACGGATTGGTACGGGTCACTGACAGACGAAAACTTGGTTGATGCAATTCTGCTTGGAGCGAAACGCCTAGGACACGCTTACGCTCTCCCAAAACATCCTCTGCTCATGAAAGAAGTTATAAAGAACAATATCGGTTTAGAAGTTAACGTGGTGTCAAATACTGTGCTATCTTTGGTGCGTGACTTAAGAAACCATCCTCTAAGTGTGTTCTTTGCAAATGATCTGCCAGTTGTACTTTCCAGCGATGACCCGGGGGCTTGGGAAGCAGATCCTATCACTGACGACTTTTATGTGGCCTTTATGGGAGTTGCTAGCAAACAATCTGATCTGAGAATGTTGAAGAAGTTAGCTCTAAACTCTTTGGAGTACAGTGCGTTGGACAATCAATCTAAGAATGAAGCTTTAAAGAGATTTAATAGAAAATGGGATGAGTTCATGAAAAAATTTAAGTGTTCGTCTTATTAAACGGATTGGATGTGAGTTTGTAATTATTGCTTTATCCATGTCTACAGGTGAATTACTTTTGTCTGACTCTTTGTTCGTGAGAAATCACGTCCGAGCGATAACATTTATAGCGGTAGCTAGTTATTAAAAAGACACATCAAAGTCATACGCATTACTTTGACAGAGACACACTTTTCATCCCTCCAATTTTGAGTTATGTGCCTAGAGTGGTTGCGTCATTCAAAAGATACTTTGCATATTTCTCTTAGTAGGTAGTACTAGAAATGTTTTTATAAAAGGATACGGTTAAAAGAATTTGGACTCTATTCGTCGGCACTATAGATTAATAATGTATTGTGCGGTTTAGAATACCAGCAACAAGAACTTGTGGAGTGACACCCTCAAAAGGAGGGTCCTCTTGCCTAACGAACTCATTGTCCCGTCGCAATATAGAAGTGCAGCCAACTACAATCTGTGTGTACGTGCAGTTACATTTCAAAATGTTGTAGAAAATCTGCATTAAAGGTAAACTTAATCACTGTTTCCATAAGAACATAAAACTAAAAAGTTGCTAAAAATAACCGACCAAAGCTGCTTTTTATTTGATTAATATCAGACACTATGTTTGCATTAGTAATTCATTTATTTAAGTCGTTTCAAAAGGCTTGAACCGACCTTAAAAAAATAGTAAGTATATTTACTTTCAGATATTTTTAAATATAAAACTGTTTCCATAAAATGTTTAATTGATGAACACAATGAAATGTAAAGTACCTAACTAGAAGAGAGTAGGGATGTATCTATCTAAACATAAGTAATACTTCCTTCTAAAACTGAAGAAACTCTAGCATTCTATAGTCCTATAAGGCCCGGGTTCTGAGAAGCGTTTGGGACTTTATCTCGTAATATAAATTACTTCATTCAAATCAAAATTAATAAATAATACAAAAAACACTTAGCTTCTCAGGAGAGCCCATAAATCTATGTAACTGTGTATTAAAAACACACAAATTATTTATTACAGTAATATTATAAAGGAGAAAATTTGTGAGTGTGTATGTTTGTTACTTGTTCACGTCTAAATGGCTGGAGCGCTTTTAATAAAATTTGGTATGGAGTTAGCTGACACCCTGGATTAACACATAGGCTACGTTTTACTGCGGAAAAATATTCCTAATAAATAGCGGGTAACACCGCGGGGCACAGCTAATTACTCATAATTGGTGTGAGTGTGGGAAATATTTATTTATTAACGGTGAAAATGAGGATACAAATCTTTAGCCACTTGCAACATTACTGACAAATTATCAACCACTGCAATGATGGCGGCGCCCTTCCTTTAATGTGAACTTGCAGCTTTTTACATAAAACTTTCCAAACATGGGGGCTAAATTTAATCATTCGAACGAACTATTTGATAAAAGTAAGTAATTTTGAAATTGGTCCATCCTAGGAACGGGGCCACTTTGGAGGCAAGTATCTTACATCAAATTCCAACAATGAGTTCTCACACACCTAGCCGTTATTAGATCATCCTTTGTCGTATTATCCCACTCGTGGGATAACGGAATCTATCGATGAGTACCAATAATAGTCCTATCGCTGAATTTGTGAAGTGCCTGATAAGTATTGCGTAGGTACTAAAACTAATAAACGAACTAATAAAAGTATGTAATTGGACCACCCTAGGAACCGAGCCACTTTAGGTGTAAGTACCTTACATCAAATTCCAAGTTCTCACACATCTAGCCGTTATTAGATCATCCTTTGTCGTATTGTCCCACTCGTGGGATAACGGAATCTATCGATGAGTACCAATTATAGTCCTATCGTTGAATTTATGAAGTGCCTAATAAGTATTGCATAGCTACATACATAAATATATACATACTGTTACAGAGTGTTCTGACAAACAAAACAGAGCAGTACTTACCATTGGTTGTGAAGTGATTCGATCGTACTGAAATAGGTTTGCATCTCTAATTAGAGAACCGAACCGTCGTGATTGAGTGGTTTTCATGATAAAATTAGAAATTCCGATTTCAGTTCCAGCGGCATCGAATAATGCCAAACCGTATAAGTAACTACATTTACAAGCAGGAGTTACACTGAAACAAATAAAAAGTTTATCCATCAAAACCCGCTTGGGCTCCCCTAGGAGGTAAAGGTTTTCTAATTTTAGGTAGGTACGAGTAACTAATAGTCAAATAAATTATAAAATGTAACCTACTTGGAAATCTATATATATAAAACTCAAAGGTGACTGACTGACATAGTGATCTATCAATGCACAGCCCAAACCACTGGACGGATCGGTTTGAAATTTGGCAAGCAGGTAGATGTAATGACGTAGGCATCCGCTAAGAAAGGATTTTAATCAATTCTACCCCCAAGGAGATAAAATAGGGAATGAAAGTTTGTATGAAACTTTGTCAATTTTAAACCGATCGGGCTGAGACCTTTGCATTGCACAGTATAAGAAGAATCATAGATGAATGTCATTGTGTATAATACAAGCCTGAGAACAAAAACTGTAGTCTACACTTCAGCTCTCCACCGAAGCGAAGCGAGGGCGGGCCGCTAATCTTAATATATATAAATCTCGTGTCACAATGTTTGTCCTCAATGGACTCCTAAACCACTGAACCGATTATAATAAAATTCGCACACCATGTGCAGTTCGATCCAACTTGAGAGATAGGATAGTTTAAATCTCAAATTATAGTCGCAATTTTAATTTATTGCAAATTATTACTTTTGGGCGGTACGAAGTTCGCCGAGTCAGCTAGTGTATTATATGTATTGAGCTTCTTGGAAGCTTTCGGGCTAAGAGAGATATTTTAACTTGGTGGAGAGTCACAACAGATCTTGTAGGTCGCAGTGACTAGAGTTCCATTAGGACTGTATAGCCCCAAAAATCTAAAATAATATTAATACTTTCTTGGAAATGTAAACTTTTTTGGAATATACATTAATATGTTTGCGATTTGCGCTTTGTAATGAGCAACTACGGAACCCTACATTGTGTGTGTATTAGGTAAGTACCCTAAAAAATGTTTTTAAGATTTTATTTTACTAATTTGTCAGCATAGGTAACTTATAATATGTAAATCCATGCTAAATGACAGCTTCCTATAGGTACATACTAATACAAGCCGAATTTATAATAGGGAATCGAACCCATTATTTACCATTTTATTTAACAAAACTACGTGTATAATTTTTAAATTAAAAGAACGAGAAAATACTTTAATCGACTTCAACTAACATTACATTCCTATGCAATGCAATAACAAGATTTTAGCGTGTTCCTATCAGCGAAATTTACAAGCAACAGCTAATACAGAGCGAAGTTCATTGACGTAAGTTTTTTTTTGAGTGTGTGTTGATCGCAGATGACTTTTACAGCGTCACCGGGTTTCGGGGCGGCGAGATCCTAAGACGGCGGAATCCTAACCTAAGATCCTAAGCCGAGAAATGACGAGTGCTTCTAGAGGTATTCCAGACCGATGGCATCTCCCCACGGGGTCTGGAGCCTCTAGACCACTAGAACCTGAGGGGTTCGACTCAACTAGAGGGCATCTCTGAGACTCGGACCTCAGCTCTAGTTAGCCGTTGTCGTGGGGGGCGGGGAGAAACGCCCAGGTACATACCTGTACCTGTCGTGTGTAGACTGCGCCTTCTCTTACTCTTATCCTATGGGTGTGGTGTCTGCCTAATGCTTACCTAGTGTGCAAGTTTACTAGCAGTGTAGTGTTAGAGTTTGTGGCCTGTGTAGGAGGAATCTGAGGCGCGTTGGCGCGGGTGATTTCGTTATCGGGGTACTCTAAGAAGTGCCGACGGAATAGGAGGGACCTACGATTGGAGGACTAGGGGGCGGACGTGTGATAACTAATGGCTTTCATTACTAAGGGGCTCGGATGATGCGCGGCTTTATCGAAGTAACGTCTCCAGGCGTCCTTCGTATACTTTGCGATGGGTCTAATTTGAGATCGCGATGCAAATCGACATTGCGCACGTACCTACTACGGGCAACCCATGGCACCGCGCAACACACGTTTTTGCAGCGCTTATAATGGTTTGAGACGCGATGGAGGTAGGTGGGTGAAGCAAACACTCGCGTAGGTCATGATATTATTTTTGGGACATTGGATTTTATACACTTTCCGGGAGGAACTTATAATAAGGTTAGAAATGCGCTTGTTTTTTCTTTTGTTTGTGAAAATCCACTTTGTACAATGTAAAGTATATATAGTTTTTGTCGAAATTTTTTACTACGTACGACAAAGCTGTGGAATATATTGTCGCCAGCAGTATTTCCGGACCAATACGACCCAAAAACCTTCAAAAAAAGAGCGTACTCCTTCCTTAAAGTGTTGCAAGTGTCCTTGATCGACGGTGATCATTTAACATCATGTGAGCCGTCTGCTCGTATGCCCCCTAAATGATAAAAAAAAACCAAACTGCTTTTCTTTACATGTGAAGAATGTACATGAGGTTGAATTTATTTTTTCGTGTGTTTATTCTCGTGTGTTGCATGTGTTACGAAGTTTTGTGCCATAGTTTACGATCAATTATGTATTACAAATTATAATCACTACATAGTATAAAGCAAAGTCGCTTCCCGCTGTCTGCCCCTATGTATGCTTAGATCTTTAAAACTACGCATCGGATTTTGATGCGGTTTTTTTATTTAATAGATAAGGTGCTTCAAGAGGAAGGTTTATATGTATAATAATACACAGTCAGGTCATAAGTATTGTCACACAGTAAAAACTTTTCTTTTAGAATGATGGCCACAAAAAAGTTTATTGAATTCGAATTTCGAATTGTTCATAAAAATAAAAATATATACTTTTTAGAATTTTACTCATTTTTAAATATGGAGTGGACGCTTAAAGAAGACCGTGTTGCACTTATTGCGTTGCATCGTTGCGGTTACGCGCCAAACCAAATTTTTGACATACTGAAAATTTTGAATATAACCAAAAGATTCGTTTATCGTACCATCAAACGATACAATGAAGACTCTAGTGTAGATGACAGGTCAAGAAGTGGTCGCCCTCGGTCTGTTAGGACTCCAGCACTGTTAGGACTCCAGCAGTGATAAAAGCTGTGAAGGCGCGAATTCAAAGAAATCCCAAACGTAAGCAGAAACTCTTGGCCCTTCAGATGGGGTGTTAAATGAAGACTTAGGGCTTCGGGGATATCGAAGAAAAACAGGACATCGTTTGAATGCTCGTCTAATGGGCCCGAGACTGAAGATATACCGTGCTTTGTTGAAGCGGTATGCGGGAAACAAAATTCGGGAAATTCTTTTTTCGGATGAAAAAATTTTTACCGTAGAAGAGAGCTACAACAAACAAAATGATAAGGTGTACGCACACAGTAGTGAAGAAGCGGGCAACCGTATTCCGCGTGTCCATCGAGGTCATTTTCCATCCTCGCTCATGGTATGGTTGGGAGTTTCTTATTGGGGCTTAACAGAGGAACATTTTTGTGAGAAAGGTGTAAAAACGAATGCAGTTGTGTATCAAAATACAGTCCTGACGAACCTTGCGGAACCTGTTTCTCATACCATGTTCAATAACAGGCCCTGGGTATTCCAACAACATTCGGCACCAGCTCATAGAGCGCAGAGCACAAAAGACTGGCTGGCGGCACGTGAAATCGACTTCATCCGGCACGAAGACTGGCCTACCTCCAGTCTAGATTTGACTCCGTTAGATTACAACATATGGCAACACTTGGAGAAAAAGGCGTGCTCAAAGCCTCATCCCAATTTGGAATCACTCAAGACATCCTTGATTAAGGCAGCCGGCGATATTGACATGGACCTCGTTCGTGCTGCGATAGACGACTGGCCGCGCAGATTGAAGGCCTGTATTCAAAATCACGGAGGTCATTTTGAATAAACTTTATTGTCATAAGAATCTATGTTTTGTTAAGTTCATTTTGGTTTATAAATGGTTACATAATGAATAAACTTGTTTCAATTATTTTATATTAAACATGTGACAGAATTTATGACCTGACTAGGTATATGCATAATATAGTAGAGAAACACTGATAATTTCAGAGGTTTTTAATGTACGGTCGTAAATAAACACATTTTTCATCCCACCACCTCGGAAAGTGTAATTTTGCGCTTCGAAATCTGGCTGGAAAATTCTATTTTATTCGCTTGAGCGGCAAAGTAGATTTGAATTTAGAACATCACATATAATGAGTACTCAATATAATTGTAAATTCAAAACGTCATTAAACCTATTTAATGTAACCTCTATGGTGCCAAATTTATGATTAGAACTTTTTAAATTGTGAAAAAATTTAAATTTGGAACCTTCTTGGTTTCTTTGTTTTATTTGCGTGCTTCGCGCCATTCTAGTTTTTCACGTTTTATTGCTTAAATATTTTGTCATTATAAATTGTTTTCTTTTTCATTTTGTCATTTCCTCGCTGATGTGGGATGAAAAGTTACGTATTGCACTCGAGTGGAAAGATTTTTCACCTTGTGCTCGTTTGTTTCCCTCGCTGACGCTCAGGATTCTAATTTAGAATCACTCGCTGCGCTCGTGATTCAACTTTAGAATCCTTCGCTTGCTCGGTCATCCAAATCGAGCACGCGGTTAAAAAGGAACTTTCCACTCTTGTATAATAAATAACTATTTTGCGCTTACATTGCGAACTGGCCGAACCCTACGAGATAGATCAAAATAATGTAGGTACTACAGTATTGTACACCTTAAAAAATCTACAAAAAAGTCCGCGATGGAATATGTCTATCTCTTAGGGATAACCCACAATAACCATTTTTATTCTATACTTTTTACGAGAAATAATAGCTTATTTACGAAGCGATTTTTTTCAGCAATATAACATTCATCTTAACCAATTAAGTACCTTAAATACTTTGTGCATTTAATACAGATCAATTTGGCCCTTTAAAGCTTGTAATTTAAATGAATATTCGCTACCGGGCGGGGGCCTGGCGGTGCGTGCCTATTGTAATTAGGTAAAAGAAGAATGTCATTGTGTATAATACAACCCTGAGAACAAAAACTATAGTCTAAACTTCAGCTCTACACCGAAGCGAAGCGAGGGCGAGCGACTAGGTATTAATAATTATATGTGTTACGAGGTCACGTGTGTTATGGTACAAATACTAAGTATATTGGCGTGATGTAAACTTAAACATTTTGTATATCCTAATGTAATTTTTATTATTGACTATTCATTCGCTCGCCCTCGATTCGCTTCGGTGTAGTGAAGACTATTTTTGTTCTAATAAATAGCTATGACACTCAAAAATGACGTGGTTTTCTATGTGAGTAAATGTTCAAAACTTGGTTCTGATTACGTCGTTGCTCTCGGCTATGAGCGCTGATTGGTTCAATTGTTTGTTGTCGTGTCGTTTGATTGGCTATTTATTATCTATTAGATGGAAGTGTAGTGGGGGCAAGCCAGCGACATCGGTTCCCGTACAAACGGTCTATGATCAGATCACCTTTCTTCTCTCTCTCTGTTCTGTGACTTTTACACAATACAGACCCTAAGCTAGATATTGGATGAAAAATACAGGGTTTAGGTTTGAAATACCAAAAAATTCCTTAGTTCATACCAATGTAGTTACTTGTTACAGGGGCTTGCATTTATATGTGCATTCACCACAATTCATAAATATAAAATTAATGAAATTAAACTAAGTATCAAATAATAAATATTTATATTCAGTAATGTTTACAACTTTAACATTCTTATGATATCTTATAAATTATAGTCGCGGCACGTAATGACGGCCGTTTTGACAAATTACAAAAGTGACTTAAAAATATAATTAACTAACGAAAAAATCGAATATAATCAAAATGCGAGCCTCGTCCTGGTATTATATTTTTGGAATTTGCAATACTGGTTAACAATATTGCGTCTATATTATAGTAGCCGATTATTAACATTTTGTGTATAATGGCTCCATCCTTTTGCTCGATGTATTTGCCAATGTCAGTTCAGAACGGCACAGTTATATGGTACACTTCTTTGTACAGTGTGGTGGCCAAATTTCTTTGTGGAGCTTTTGTGTGGAAAAACTGCTATCATAACGTGTCACTACTTTTATAGATACCCTAAATATTACACTCAGAACATATAATATAGTCATATAATGCATAGGTGTGAATTAAAGTGCACATTTGTATGTATTCGTAACTATTTTTTTCCCCATTTTTTAGAGATTTAACTACTAGTTGTTCAAATCTAAAGAAAATTATACTAGAAAAAAATCCGCGCGTTCCAGGCAGCAGGAGGGACTCGAACCTGCACCCTTCGCTATCTGGGCGAATGCACTGGCCATTATCCTACGGCGGCCCCGATGGCCGTATCGAATTCTTTCTAGTGTTTCTTAAGCTGTAAGGCAGCGCCATCTCTTCGCATTGTAGATAACCCACTTTGCTGCCTGGTGCACGTAGATTTTTTCTTGTATAATTTTCTTTAGATTCAAACTATGTTATTTATTGTTAATTGATGTATATGCAAATATTTACAGTCGCACTAAGAGAAGTCAATTAACTTTTAAGTTTAACTACAGTTATTGCTATGACATTATTTGTGATAATAATACAATTGTTAAACGTTTCTGAGTTCGGCTGTTAGTGATTAACATACAAAAGCTTTTGTTTTCCCATTCACTGTATGTAAGATCATTCTTTCATTTTCATTGTCATCATCATTTTATTTCTTTCAATCATCTCAGTGATTGAGATCACTCGTATGAAAGTGCTCTTCTTTTATTGATACAACAGGAAAAGTAGGGACTAGCAGCTCAACATGTTCTTATCAATAGAAATCTATTGATGGGAACATAATCTAACAATTTAAATCTTTAAAATAAACCAAAATTCAACTAAACTTAAAAATTACTAAGAACTAGGGATGTGTGTTTGAAAAGCTATTATACTTGAATCCTTCTTAAATATAAAGACTTTTATAAATTTTTCAATCTAAATAATATACATAAATAAATAGGTTAACCCATTTAAAGTTATTCATGAATCTGATATAATCTAGAATTTTGGTATTTTCTTTTAAAGGAAGTAAGGCTTAACAAATAAATAAATAAATATTTCCAACACTCACACCAATTAGCCTAGCCCCAAAGTGAGCACTGTAAGGCTTGTGTTATGGGATACTAGGGTAACGGATAGAATACATATACTGTACATATTATAAGTATATTTATATAGAAATACATATTAAACATCCATGACTGGACTACAAATGCTCGTATTCATCACACAAACATCTGCCCCCACTGGGATTCGAACACGGGACCTCTCGAGTCGGCGACACACCATGAAACCCGGCGTACAAACCACTCGGCCACGGATGTCGTCAAAATAATACTTCTCTTTTAGCAAAAACACCAAATCTAGATCAAATGTTGCTAAATATATTATAACTCAAAATTGTTCTCCTTATTTACTTAGATGAACAATATTTAAGCAGTGTTAGCAGAAAGCGACAAGCAGGCATTTTTAAAGCAAGCGAAAATGAGTTCTGTGTACCAATTTTAAAGTTTGATTGTGGAAGTGGAAAACAACTATTATATTTTTTTACGCTTGTGTTATGGGATACTAGGGTAACGGACAGATACTATACTAGGATACTGATACAAATACAGGTATATTTATATAGAAATACATACAAACATCTGCTTGCACCAGGTTTGAACCAGGGATCTTACCAATAGATGACACCTTAAAACCCGGCGTATATACCACACGACCACGGAGGTCGTCGTCATTGGTCATCCTTGGGTTCAAACAGAATCAAACTTTAATATGGGGTAGTAGAACAAATTTTCACTTGCTTCAAAAATGGCCGTTGGCCACTTTCTTCTTGGCAAAGCTCAATTTCTCTTTAGAAAAGTTATTCTATATAAAGTAAACTAATTAAATATATATGATACAGATACACCCACTGCTCATTCAGTCTTCTCCTGCTGGTACTGCGTCTTCTAACCGCTTTATGTATTTCACCCTTAATTCTGTCACAGCATCACCTTTAAGCTGGTCCTGAAAAGACAGTGTGATGTTGGTAATGTACTATGCTTGATCTTAAATTTTGTTTATTTAGTCCATAATAATAGATCCATCTCAACTCTGAGAGCAATCTTGAGTACGAACTTGTGATGAATGTGATGAACTGTTTTGTATGAACACAGTATCTTAACAGCATAGTCTCAGAGTTGAGTGATCTAATAATACAGGCCTTAAGCCTTGGGCTAGCTCTTGTAAACATTTACAAAAAACTCAGATCCCTTGAATCTGGACTAAGCTTGCTTGGTAGGTCTTCATTCTTGGTAGGATCCATTCTTTCTAATCTGTATAATCTGTAAATAAGTTAGACCTGTGCCTAGCCCAGCAGTGGAAATATTAACAGTTAAATAATGATGATGAATTTTATTCTGGAGGTGTTGTGAATTCTTATTAAAAAATACTTCAGAATTATTACCTGTACAAACCAGCACTGAACATCTAGCTGCACCATTTGCAGTGCCCCTCTGATGGCTCCTGGTATCAGGGCGCAGTACTTGAGTCCGTTGTTGGGCATCTCGACCCATTCGCTGAGTGGACACTGGTCCCAGACAAGGGAGAACTCATCGCCAGCACTACTCCAACTGGTGACTGTAGGCTGCATGTTTAGGTATAGCCTGAAATTTAAATATAGGGGGATCAGTAAGTTATTCTTACAAAATCTGGCATAAATATTCCTGAAATAAATATGGGGGAAGTAAGTATGGAATTTAGCTTTAGTATTCTGTATCAATGGACTCCTGTGTGAGCAACATGACTATGTCATATTTACGGATTGGTAAAAGGAAACAATATCGCTTCTTCAAGTTTTTATTTTTGATGTGACAACGTCTTAAATTAGGTTGCGGCTGGGAGTCACTTATGAAAAAGTGTAACGCTCGGTAACGTTACGATGAGTTTAAGTTTACATGTACAATGTTTTAGTAAACAAAATATATTTCTATAGTTAAAATTTGTGCAATTCTTATTTTCATTCAATTCCTTGTTCCTATTGTGCAATTTAATTATATTCATATCAATAAATATTCTACCGAGAAAAAGACGTTGTCACGTAAAATCTTCGCCCGTAAAACCGACTTTTTTTGCTAAAAAAATATGTTATTAGTGCTAAATGTATTAGTAACTGGGTGCCTCCCATTGATATTGCTTTTTCAATAACTACTTACTAAGCTCAATTTAAGATTAGTTAAAATTTATAAATAATTGGCTGGCACTTCAAATATAGGAAAGTAACTCTTTTGGAAGAACCTGAAATTGAATGACTAGGACAAAATGTACTAAGAGTCATGACAGTGGCACTTGGAATTCTGAGTTTTATTTCTTTTCAGTATTAAGATCACAATAAAGGCATTTTCCAAGTTAAAACCAATATGAATGACTAAATTTTGGTGAAGAATAGAAATTTACAATCAAACTTTGATTATATACATGCCTACATACCGTATTAACTGCATGGAGGCTGCTCAAAGAAATATCTACTACTTATGGTAGATACGCTTGTCACTACACATGCACGCATGACTGGTTTAAAACAATCTGACATTAGAGTCACAACCGCATTGCGGGTAACATAAGCCGTTTTTTGGGTGGTTAATGTGGATTGTTCTATCTAGGGCTCAGCTTTCCATTATATGTAATTGAGTTGCAAGCTGAAATTTTTGTCACGCAAAGTATTAACTATTATAAACACGTACACGAAATCTTTTTAGGCGGAAACGAATAGAACTCGAGAAAAAAAATATTGAAAATTAATGTTTTTGTAGGTTATGAGTCAATTTTGACAGAAATTTTGATCAGTGCTGCCATTTTTTTATGCAAAAATAACATGTTTCTCGTTGTCTATGGTAAATATAAGTTTATTAAGTTGGTGCTATTGTCAAAATGTGACAATTTACCGCCATTAATGAGATCTGTCAGTCAGTGTTTATGTTCGTCACAATTGAGAGCTTTTTCGTACTCCTGTTGATATTAACATCGTCTGACTACCATGGCATCCTCAAAGCCTTCGGCCTCGAGTTCTGCTGTCCCTTCGCCTGAAGAGTCGAGTGTAGTGCGAGTTTTGGACTCTAATGAGCCGCTTGTATGGTGATACTTCACACTAGGTTAGGTTAGGTTAGTGTTCTGACCTTAACGCGCGAGCCGAGCGAGCGAAGCGAGCGTGCCGCGGGAGCGGCCGGCGAAGCGCCAGAAAGAAAAATTCGTTAATAGAGACTTTTTCTACAAAAAAATCTAGGCCCTGGAAGTACAGTTTTACCTTTAAAACCCCTCTAATTTTTTATAATTATCATTTCTGTAAAAAAAAACGCCGGGAGGGGGGGGGGGGGTTACCCTTCCCTCTGAGGAGTCTTCCCTTATACCTATCCCCCTGAAATTCCACTACATTTAACAGATTTAATGAATTTTTAGGTTAGGTAAAAAAAAAACTGCGTTTCCGCCAAAAATCTTTTATGGCGGGGGGGTCGGGGAGAGCCCCCCCTCCCCCTCCCCTACAAATTACCCCGAAATTCGATTACATATAATGGAATTAAGTACCATTTGAATATATTTAATCTTCAATATCATGATATTGAAGATTAAATCTTTGTGTCCAAAGATTTAATCTTCATTTAATACCTGAATGCTTGTTGGAGTTTGTCAGCAGTTTCTCTCATTTCCAAGCATCTATTTGAACTTGTTCTAGCCAGGAAATCTTCAATCAACCTCACACCCATGTTGTATCCAATTCTTTCCAACTGCTTGTTCACATCATCAGAATTTTCTTGCTCCTTCAACATTTGACATACTAGTGCACCGTAAGTCAATGTAAGAAGTTCTGAGTTCTGTAATTAAATAGGTATTTTTATTGATTTTCTAGTACTTGTTAACAATTTCTCATTTTTTAGGCAAATACAGTTTCGTTACGGTAGTGTAGCTGTAGACAAATAAGTATTACTTTTTCACTCACCACTTTCTTAGCATCAAGCCTAGATGTTTGTCTAGACATTTTGTTCTTAAATATTACTGGAAATTATCAAAAAAATATGACAAATCGATTTTGTATTCTTCCAAACAAAAACACGAACGGAGGAGAACCCACGGAGAAACGGTGCCGTCAAACGGTCAAACCACAGAGTACCTTTAACTTTGCGATAAACGCCCATGGCCCATGAAACGCCTCTCTCTTCTTTCGTTTAGAAGCTGTCATCTGTCATTGTCACTTGTTACTTTTTTTTGTTGAAGTTCTCCCGTTTTAGGGAAGGCAAAGGGAACAATGCCCATACAGCCTGGTCTTTAATTAAATTAATCTTTTTGTTTTTACATTAGAATGTTGGTGTAACGCATTGATGAAATCATCAACTTAACAAGATCTGTATTGAGAATAATTGTAATAATCATAATAATGTTAAATAAAAATGAGTGTAGAAGATTATTTGAGTTCATGTTGTACTTTTTTCAATAAAAGTTTTAATCTAATGTCTTAAAGTATTTTTATTTCATTTTAATTTACCTCTGGCCATTTACACTTACAGTAGCAATATTTTTTTATTGTCTAAATCGTTAAATTTAACACACATTTCTGGACAAGACTGTACCTATGTTGAAACGACTGTTTGACAGATAAAAAGAAACAGAACATAAATACATAAAACAAATGACATTTAAGATTTTCTCCTACGAAACGATTCGACGATCTAAGTTTAGCAAAAATTATAAGTGCTTCGGTAATTGTGCCAGTGAGAGTATTAAAAGACCCGGAGTATTTTTTTCCGTTGTCATATTTTTATTTTATAAAATAATCTTTGAGAACAAAAAAAACTATCGATATTGTTATTTAAAGAAAACTAAAATATCGATACCCAACTTTCCCTAGTTACGATTACTTGTGATTGTCATTAGTGTGCGTAGGTGAAAAAATATATTTGTATGCGATTGTAACAATACAAATAACTAAGGCTGTGTGAGTTTTTTTAATGTAGTGGTTTACCTCGTCCCCCTCAAAAAGTGACAGACTTTGCACTGAGTAAAATTAGGCGCGTACTTAGTCCAGTGGATTAATGGTCTAAGCCAACCGCACTCGATGGAATCCCGCCAAAAACCTTGTTACTTTTTTCCATTTTGGGAAGGTCAGGAATACTGTTCAGTTCTTGCCTAATATTAAGAAGGTAAAACAAAATTGATTCACTAATTTTAGTCGGGTATCATCGTTTTGTTATTGCTTAACTTTATTATTATATTATAAAGTTCTTAACCTCAAATACCTACACATTTAATTATTACATACACTACACGTAAGTCTGTGCACTACACACTTACATGAAATCATCATACTGATTTCGGTAGGAGGGGGTATGTTCAGTTCTTGCCTAACATTAAGAAGGTAAATTAAAATTTATTCAGTAATTTTGTTCAGGTATCATGGTTTTGTGTTTGCTCGGCCACACTCCTGACTATGGGCGCGCTCGGACAAACGTTTTTTCTCGTCGTGTCTTAATTACCACTACGTTAGTGGAAATAAGTGTCTACAGTTTATAGCCGTGCTATAGACCCTTGGTGGAGTGAAAGTTCTTGCTGCAAGATTCTTCTGCCCCGAAGCACCGCGGCTCCGTGGTCTGGTCGCCGGAGAGATAATGTCACTTGCGAATAGTGTTGCCAGGTGTCCTGATTTGCGCGGGACGTCCTGATTTTCAGGGGTCTGAGGACGCAGCCCGATTAGTACCTGATCGGGACACTAAATGTCCCGATTAATCAAAAAATGAAATTTAGGTAATTAATGGTGTCAATTCTGACACGATTCTCTAAACCTAAACTTAAATTTGACAACAGTGTATCCTTGTCATTCTCTTTAAGGAATGAAAAGGAGAGATTGATGGTAAATTTAGTTTTAAGTAGAGAATCACGCCAGTATCGACACCATTATAATACTATACTTGTAGTAGTAGTTTAAAATGCAATAAATTAAGCCCAGACTTAAAAAGACCTTGTTTTTTGTTAAGGTCTCGATCTGCAACCCTAAATCCCGATTGTTTTGACCTCATGTACCGATTTAAAACAAATCGAACCTGGCAACACTACTTGCGAAGGTAGATGGTCAAAGTAAGTGGATTTTATTTATCCTTTTGATTTGGCAGGAACTGCATATATCACATCACCTTACTTTCACCATACACACACCTCACATATCACACATACAATCTACTCAGACATTGAAATATTTTAAAACTTATCAGCCAGTGTCAAAGACTTTATATAATACTCAGACTGTGCACAAAAAAGTCATTAATCTAAAGTAAGATTTATTTATCTGTAGTAATAGGATAGCTATTATCTTGATAAGCGGTCGCTAGTAAAAACGGTCCTGAATGAGAAAGCACCCAACGGGAGTGTGTCCCTTTCTAACGTTTTGCCAGCTCAATTTATCATTGGGTTTGGTAGAAATGGTAGAAATTGTAATCCTTTTCTATTTGTGATTTACTGATTAATTACCGATACGAACGATTCGTAAACTATGAAATGTATTTAAACATTTCTACAGTTCCTATAAATAATAAAATAATCATTGATATTTTTAAAATAAATCTAAATACAGAGTAAAAGTAGTATTTAAATGGTTGAGCCTGGTAATATTGAATGTAAGATGGTGATTTGTTCACTTGATCGTAAAATTGATTTACCCGCTTTGATTTGAAATATTGTAAATTTGCTTATTAAAGTGTATTTTTTTAAATGGTGAACTCGTGTTGTGAACAGGTTGCTACAATGAATCTTATCCCGGTAGCCCTTTTTCTTTTCACGGGTAAGTAAAACTTACAATCATATTCATTAGGTGAACTATGAATTTTGGGGGTAAATGAGTTTTTTTTCTTGACATGAGTTGTGAATTTAAAATGAATCAATTATTAATTAACGCGGTCGCGGTTACTTCCTTGTTTCGTAGGTACTTTTTAGAGCGTTTTTAGATTCGTCAAGTCTGTCTTTTTTTGTTTTAATTTTAACTTATCATCACAAATTACTTACATATTTTATTATCGTTGCATTATATTATCACTGCGTTTACCACACAACCACAACGGTCTTCTGACGTCTGAAATCTTTGGGTTTCTGCTGTAGGTAGGAATGTATGGAGAACAGACTTGGACCAAGTATAAACGAATACAATAACACACACCACCTTCTCATTATGATAGTCAAATAATTAATGTCATTATAATGCGATTCAAATAAGAATAGGAAAATCAATGACCTCTATCTGTCAAGTGTCGCTTGAAAAGTACGGTTTGCAAAAAAAACTTTAAACCCTTTTTAGCACTCCGCTAATTCAAGAATAAAAACCAAACATTTGTAAACAAACAATAACAAATATTGATAATTAATATCGGTTGATATTTTTCTTCACTTATTGAGCTTTGGCCATGAATGGTTGATAACCTAAATCGTCAACCAAATGTCACTTTAAGTTACGTTCAGAAACTCGATTTCAAACTTTCGTTTACATAAAGGATGCATGTTCGTATGTGACCTAATAATAGTGCATGATTATTCATAATTACTTCGGCGGTAATGCAGCGATGAGCGGAATAGAAGAGCTAGATTCTGATTAATGTTTTAAGACTGTCTTAATAAATAAATATTATTAAAAATCGGTGGTTTTTTTCTCAATCTTAGTAAATAAATGTTATTAAAAAAATCTGATGCTTCTTCTCACTTAATCTTAGTAAATAAGTTTTATTAAATAAAAACATTTTTTTGCTCACTATACCTATTTCGTTTGAATTGACAGCTATGACATCACAATATGGCGCCCAGTCCTATTCTTAGTTGAATCGCATTATATGTCCTCATCCTCAGATTATAGAAGAATAGGATAACCTATGTTCTTAGTAAGCAAGGACATGACTACAAACAAACATACCTATATGGAAAGTTTTGGGTTCCCTATTACCGCCACATCAAATACTTAGTGTAGGTGCATGCATGCATGCATGTAATAATTAAAGAGGTTAAGTATGTAGGTACATAGTAGGAATAATGACATTTCAAAAGCTATCCAATGATACTGTAGTAGTTTTCATCACAATCGGAGCCGAGACTCTTTTAAGTTCTAGGTACTACGAGTACCCAGGAACGGCGGCCCCCCTCTTTTAGTTCTGTCCTGCAAAGGGGGGTGGCGGAGAGTTACACGGGTGCGCCCACATAGCCATCCGCATCGGACAGGGGGCGGTACGGTAGGCACTAGGCCGCGTACCCAGCCCCCACGCGCGGGCCATCCTGCGCACGTCTGTGGGGTCCCCATAATACCTCGGGAGACCCCTGCCATAGAGCATCGGCGAGGCCGGGAAGCTGCTGGGCGCGAAGTCGCGGAAGAATCCCTAAACGGTGACCCCGCGGCTTCGCATAAAGTAGTGTAGAAGGTATTCGCAGGACGTTTTTTAGCGGATATTATGCCGTAAAGCGCCCGTAGGAGTTGCGGGGTCCTCGGTGGTCAGCCACTGGGGGGTCCGTAAGTCTTGCGGGAGCCAGGTGTGAGGTCCGTTCGGCGGTGTGACTCTTAAAGGCGCCGTCGTCTGTAAGAAGATTTTTTACTACGAGTAACTACTTTTCACTATTCCAGATATTTATTATACCTGAAATTGGGTTGACATCAATGTAATATTTTTTAATAATCCCTAATCATTTTGTACTGTGGAGGTTTATCATGACTGATAACTTATAGACAAATACACACCTATTAATTTATCGCGGTTATCGAACTCTCGGTCATAAGTAGTTACCTAACTCGAAAATAAAATTAATAAAAAAAAACTGATATTTATCGGTTGGGAGAACGTGTATTTTATTTATCAGTAATTACATCAGGTTCATCGTTACTTATCTTGAACTTTAGTGCCGACAGTATTATTAGTTACAGAAGAAACCAACATGTTATCGATTAGAAAAGGATGTCGAGTACCCAGATAATAATAAACTAAAATAATAATAAGTAATTTAAAACATTAGAATTCTTAGGTAGGGCCAGGGCCGTCTTTAACCTATTGGAGGCCCTGGGCATATTAGGATAATGGGGCCCCTATGACTTTGATGTGGATTATGACTTGAAATGGAGCGAGTCATACTGATGAGTGTACTACTGATGATTTTTCTTTAAAATATGTATGTGCTTAGTATACCATTGTGTATATTGAAATTTATCTAAGCTTGCTGAAGTGGAAAGCCTAATTTTTGGGCGAGAGTAGAATAGCATCGCTTATGTAAAAGCTAGTAATTTGGTATTGTAGTCAGTAATTTGGGTTCGATTTCAGTGAATTATATAAGTTTTTGGTAATAAATATTGGTTATCGTTTGGTAATCTGACAGGAACTAGATACTTTGTATTTGATCTAAGGGAGGCCCTTATCGATCGCGGGGCTCTGGGCACTTGCCCAAAGTGCCCACTGGGAAAGAGGGGTCTGGGTAGGGCATTAGTTTTTTACCCCACCCCAGCAGATGGTAAGGGTTAGTGGAGTCCAGTGGCGAAGATAGATGATGGCAAAAGGTGTGGTTTTTGTAAGGTGGAGGTTGCTTCCCCAAACTGGCGCTCCAATTCGAGCGGAAAATTCGCTATGCCCTACATATCTTAGAGTATATTTTAGTGAAATTTCCGCTTCATATGAAGCCTATGGAATAGGGAGATTGGGCCTATTCCATCCATAGGGTAGACCTGTGCCCCAGCAGTGTGTACATTAATAGGCTGATGATGATGATGAAGCCTATACCTACTTTAGACATTATCCTTTTTAAATGTCTATGAGCTTGAGACGTTTAGGTCCAACAATAGAACAACTCAGTCACATCTATGCTATAGGTGTTTAATTTATATATGTCTGCCAGGGCCGTATTTTAAAATCTGATAAATGCTTATTTTAAAATCTGGCACCTCGGGACCACTTAATGTACGCGGCCTGACATAAAAGGTCTTCATCTACAGAAGGACGGACAACAAAATGATACTATGAGAGTTCCGTTTTTTTCTTTTGAGCTACGGAACCCTAAAAAGCAGACTGGTGAAATTGGTGACCTCTTTTTTTTCATTGTAAATGTAATGAATGAATGAATATTCTTTATTGCACTATTTAACAAAATATATAAAACATAAAACTCAAGGAAGACAAACACAAAAGGCGGCCTTATTGCTAAGGTAGCAATCTCTACCAGGCAACCTTTGGCTAAATGAAACCATACCATGAAAGTAGAAGAAACTGTGGGCTAGTGCATTTTAAAAATAAACATATAAACGTAAATATAAGAATATAAAAATAGTAAGTATATAAGGAAACTATAAAATATAATACAAAGTAACTAACAGGTAAAAAAAAGATCAGACAGAGTCCAGCTTGAGGAAATATTCCTTAATTTTAATAATAAAGGAGTCCCTCGTCTGTGCACGTTTGATATCCAGAGGTAAAGAGTTCCACAATTTAGTTAGTTAATAGAATGACTTGACTACGAAATCATTGGAGTGGGGTGGGATAGCTAAGGATAGGTTATGGGAAGACCGAAGATCACGGACAGGATTAAAAGAATGAAAAGTGAAACGCTCCCTAAGATAGAGAGGAGTGTGCGGATGAAAAAGGATAGAATAAAGGAGTGAAAGGATATGGCAGTCTCTTCTACGAGAAATGGGCAGCCATTGAAGTTGGAAACGATAATGAGAGATATGGTCGTACTTACGCAGACCGAAAATGAATCGGATACATAAATTCTGAAGACGCTCGAGTTTATTAGGAAGAACAACACTAAGATCAGAGTAACACGCATCGGCGTAGTCAAGCAACAGGAGAAGAAGGGACTGTGCAAGAGAAATTTTAGTTTTGTTAGAACTTTCAGGTTTTTCAGGCGTTACAGCGAGCCATACTTTCTTTTTCTTTTATTTAAGCTCGTTAAAAACTATGGTGACAAGGGTGATTCCTATAGTGTAATAGGTAGATGTACAAACATTATGAAAAAAATACAAGGTTTCTAAAATAACTTTTTATTGAACAGTACTTTCATAACAAGAAACAATAATAAATACAGATCAAAACTCCGACTGTGAGACAATTAGTCGGTGATGTGACGTTTATTCTACTTTAGCTCTCCGCTATTGTGGTCTGTCAGTTCTGCTTACGCGACCACATAGTATCTGACAGCCTCGCCACTCCACTTAGCTGCTGTAACGGTCTGAAAATAAAACAACCTTATTACTTACTATATAACTACATACATTATTTCCTCCTCCTTGAGCTGTGTTTATTGAGGACCCTTGGCAGAATGAAGTGGTCGTAGAGTCTGGTGTCTAGTAATGTGCATGAACAGTGATAGATGTAATTAAAAGATTTTGATGCATGGCATGTCATGGGTACGGACAGTGATGTAAACTGAAAAAAAAAAAAAGTTTTTTTTAACATGTTCAAAAAAACATGAAAAAAAACTTAGGATCTCAATTTTGTGTTTTTGTTGTATTTCTGTTGTTGTTTTTTTTTCAAGTAAACAATCTTTGGAAAATTATTGTTTTATTTTTAAAGGAGATTGCTCAGCTTCCATACATGTTTGGCCTAAAGACTAATAATCATGAAAAATTGTTTCCTACATTCGAAATTATATATAAATTACTGTAGAAACGAATATTATTGACGGACACCCCTGAGAACTTCTATAAACCATATACACTGAACATATTAAAATAATAAAAAACAAAAAAGTTATATAGTAAACTAGGGAAATCAAGCCAAGTACCGAAGTTATGGATTAGATTCAGGTATATAGAGCATGTAGATTAACAGATAGTTGCCTGTTTTTAAAGTTAATGCATAAGAGTAACTTTTAAAATCAGGTGTCATTTCCGGTTATAATAAGATACTCTGTGACAGAAACTGTGTAAGGGTACGGGTGCGCCAGAGTGCACTCAGATTCAGATTTCGAAAACAAGCGCGAGAAATAGTCGAAATCTGAATCTGAATCTGAATCTGAGTGCACTCTGGCCGCACCCTAATGATTGTGATTGAGCCACAGATTAGAGAGCATTTTTAAACTCTCGGTAACCAAAGAAAGCTAAGAGATTTAGGTTCTATAGCCATATATTCAGTAGCTTCATTATTTTTGTTATGTTTTTAAGATAACCATATTTTAGATTTTTAGTGAATCACACCTTATAATTTTATTATTTATTAATTTATAGTCAGGGAACGTAGGCCCATAGATAGCTACCTTAAAGTCTAACATATATACAGATTATAATGTGTTTAATGAGGTCTTTGGCGAAAAATGTATGGCAATAGACTTTATGATGTCGCCTACCACCTATAGGTAATAACTGTCTGAGCACATTTGTATCTAGTGAAAATGATAATATAGTGGTGGATATTAATACCACAGTGTAATAAAAAAAATATTTATTTTATCGATCTTTACAAAATAGATTTGTTTTTATGTTATATATAAACAACTTCGATCAGTCTTTGGCTGAATGTTACTACACCCATAGCCATTAAAAATGATTCGTATGTTTTCCAAACCGGTAAAATTAAAAGTCCTTTTTAAAGTAAATATATTATACAAAGGTGTCCGTTGAAATGTAATGACTGTAAATTAAATTATAAATTACGCCCAGAATTACCGTGTATGTCAATATTTTTTGTACATTTAGGCCAATTTGAGCAATCTCCTTTATGTTTATTCTGGTTTTACACATTTGGCTTCTAAAAACGGAAATTCTTCAAATGCGCGCTGTTAACTGCGTTCATACTTCAAAAAAACATAATCTGAACGGGCAATAGGAACCTAATATATAAAGTACATAAGGATTAATCTTCTTTATCAGAAACTTTCTTAATAATATTGTATTGTGTACTCGTGAAACAGAACATACTCCATTAAAAAACCCTCTTTCCCTACAGAAAAAAAAACTACGATAAAAATAGAAGCGCCAGCTAAATACCGCTCAAAACTTTTCAAGAGTAAAACAATACCCAAGCACCACAATGTTAGTGATCTAGTCTATTTATTTTTATGGTAAGGTTTATTTATTTATTTAATAATCATTTTCTTGTGAGCTTATAGTACTCGTAATTCCAAAATGCAATACAAGTGACAAAAAAATAGAACACGTAAAAGCCGAATTGATAATTAATGAAAACAACACGAAAATTAAAATTTAATATTTCTATGTGGATTAATAATTACTATTTTTATAATCATCATCACTCTATTAGTGTCCCCATTGCTGGGGCACTGCCCTTTTCAATGGATGGAATAGGAAGATTCGGCCATGACCCATCACGCGAACCCAGTACGGATTGGTCGGTGCTAACGACTGCAGATGCAGCTGGGACCAACGGCTTAGCGTGCCTTCCGAAGCATGGAGGAGCTCGAGATAGTACGTTTTTGGAAACCATCAATCCATCCATCCAATGACCGACCACTGCGAAATTTGCTTAACTTCAATGACCACCACTTGCGCCATCGAGCTCCTCAATTTGGTAGGTATATTCATTAATTGCTAATATATAAATATTTTTTTATCAGTGCCTATGCGTTTTGTCACGTTCGCTACAGTGTGTGCTATCAATCATTACAAAAAGATAAATTACACTGATATTAAAAAGGATTGAAAAAATTGCGATAGGGTATTGTCGCCAAAATAAATATAACTGTACTAAAATCGAATACAGTGTTACTTGCAAAAATATAAATTTCACAAATATACCGAAAACGCAGCCAATTTGACCCACGGAGGAGACGTTTTCCCAAATCCGTTGGCACATTCAGTCGTTGTTGTTGTCAAATTTCTTTGTTGGTTTGAGAATTGGGACAAGCTTTCCTCCCGCGAAACCAAGAATATCAATAGAAACCATCATAAAATAAAGTTTTTTTTTAAATCTAGCAATTAGGTACATAAGTGAATAAAAAAATAACTTACGACTTTAAGGGTATCTGCTGTATATTCTCTTTTCATTGTGATAGAGCCCTTTTCTCCGAAGTCCAAGACTTGAGTGAAAGTATCACCTTCAACGGTGACTGTAGATTTGGCCTGGAAAGGTTTCGAACTACTTTAATCTATACTTATATTATAAAGAGGTAAAAATTGACTATATGTTTGTAGGTTTGTTTGTATTGAATAGACTCCGCAACTAATAGACCGATTTGAAAAAATCTTTCACATTTAGAAATCTACATTATCCCTGGTGAACATAGACTATACAGAATTTTCAAAAAAAAAAATTAGGTTTCCGTATGAAAACTTCGATTATGTAACCCGATGTGAGAAAAAATACCAAAACATAACCTTATATCGCGTATGTTGCGAAATTATTATAAACATAATCATATCTATGTATATTGAAGGTGGAAATTATTTAGTTCCACCTTCAATATACATAAATATGATTCTGTTTCAAAAAACGAGTGTGCTTATGATAACACGACTGAAGTGAAACTTCTTTAGCTCCATCTGTATGTATATATATATATGTATGTGTGTACAATATATACATGTATTAACATATACATATTTCATTTACTAGCTATAAGAGAAAATGTGCGCGCACACTGCTTTCTCTTGCTTATCCCACTCAACTCCCGTTCGCCTCGCCAGAACACACTTTTCGTAACGCGTAACGCATTCGCCACCTTATCCCTCAAGTTAAGCGTGCGTAAAGAAGTTTCACTTCAAAAAACCCCGCGTTTCAATATACCAATGTTTAGCCAATAATACAGGCTATTCATGGTGATAATGTTACTGGCATAATTACCGCAACACCTTCGTCGATGACGTCATCAAAGGTCACGCCAGACTTGAACTTGATTTCCTTATTGAAGGTACCCACGGTAAAAGTGAGAGTGTATTCATCACCATTCTTCACCAACTTCTGATTCGGTTTGAAGGTCAATATCTTGCGGGCCTTTGGATTCTGCTCAACGGATTCTGGAATTCGTCAAAAGTATTATATTTTCTAACCATTTAACTGCTAGATTCTACTTAAAACTGGAATTTTATTTCTTTAGGTCGTCAAAAGAAGTTCATGTACCAGTATTAAGGATGGTAACGGAGTAAATCAAACAAAATTCCATTTAGTCCGTCAGTAACAAAAAGGGACACATTAGTTTTTGGGGGGTTCGTGACCATACCTTTTGATTCGGTCATCTTCCTTATTATGTTTTTATTTATGTAAAGAGCCCAACATGGTGCAAATATGCTGCTATCGTAGGTAGCCACACGCAAGCAACGCGTTTAGCTAATTGTCTTATTATGTGGCCACTGTAATAAAAACTGCAATAAAGTGCTTAACTTAGCACGAAGTGAGGGTCATTGTTTTGTAGCCTTAAGGTCACAGCTAATTAGACATATTATTTTGGGTTGTTCGTGACTATACCTTTTGATTTGGTCATCATCCTTATTATGTTTTTATTAGTAAAGAGCCCAGTTTGATGCCAATATGGTGCTATCGTAGATAGCCACACGTAAGGGACGCGCTTAGCTAACTGTATTTTTATATGGCCACATGTCTTCTCAATAAGGTGCCTAACTTAGCACCTAGTGAGGGGTCATTGTTGTGTAGCGAGGGTCATTGTTGTGTAGCCTTAGTGTCGCCGCACACGGGCCACACGCCACAGCCACAAACGCCGCGAGAAGCTAGCAGCGGCTACTAAAGTGGCTGAAGCGCGCGACAGCGGCCGACTAAGGTAAGGGAGAGAGGGGTGGGGAATCGCGCGAGTGACATGTGGCAGCGTTTTGTATCGGCGCATTAAGTGGCCGGCGCGGGCCACAAGAAGCGAGCAACGACGATTTGTAGCGTGTGGCGGCCACCGGCGTACCGTGTGTGGCGAGTCCATATAAAATGTATGAAAACTACAAATATGCCGGAGGCGGCGTTTTGTGGTTGTGGTCGGTGGCCCGTGCGCGGCGACACTTAAGGTCACAGCTAATCAGGCCCACCTAGCACCCTACCAGCACTGACTCAACTCGTATGGATTTAAATGGGTATACGCTTACTACATAAACTCTGTACCGTCTGCTGAGACCCAAGCATGAAGTTTGACAGCTTCGTATCGTATAGTCATCGTCAAATTTTATTTAAAAAAAACCTGTTTATTCTTTTGTCCGCTACGGGCGCTGCTTAGTTTTCATAGAAAACTTTGACGATGCGATACGTTACGGAGCTGTAAAAAATCTTGCTTCGGCCTCAAATCGACTCTCTCGCACGTTCGCCGTGTGCTGGTCGCCAGCCTAGTGAGTGCTCCTGAGTGGACCACGTCACGGTAATATTTAACTATATTACCATGACCACGCGCTGCTTGCGAGTTGGCAGACGCATTACATTATTTTTCTTAGTTTAAGATTAATTGAATGAAGTTTTCTTTGGATTGTGTTAAGAAAATAATAAAGTGGTTGAAATACGAAATAAAAATAAATAAATTTGTAATGTTTACCATTCATTAGTTGGAATGATGAGATCGAATTCAAAATCAGGAAAAAACAAAACACGACATCCCACTTACACCAATGTCTTAAGTTCATGCTAAAATAAAATTTTTAGTATCACTATTTTGAAAGATTTGTAAAACAGGATTAAGCTATGTTACATTCCATCTCTATTTTGAAAGATGTGTTATACAGGATTAAGTCTTATGTTGGTTCAAGAATATTGATGCTAAATAATAGTTTATTTCAGCTTACCAACAGCGGTTATCAAAGCTTCAAAGTTCTCCTCCTTCTCAAACTTGAAGTCCTTCCCGAGATACGCCATTTTTGCTCTCTTGAACAATGTCACCAAGCAAGCAAAGTACAATGAATTCGGCGACGACAGTACACCGTTTATAAACCCCTTATAGATAATACAATATTGATTCATGACGATAAGATATTGGGATAATTGGTAATGTTTCATTCGGTTTCGGTTTTATGCAAGATGAACCCAGTCCAATTATGGAAGAGAGATGTTAAATATTTTCGGAAAAAAAAAATTAAATCACCTAACTGGAATACACTTAGAGCACAGCAGAGATTTAGGAACACTGGTACAAAAAATATTTATTCAAATAAATTAAGGCTTAACCTGTTCATTCTTTGTCAAATTGTTTACAGTCAAATAGAGATAGAATGAGGCATGAACATTTTGGTTTAAGAATTTTGTGCAAGATGGGCCTTTTGAAATCTTCGGGGTACCAGTGGATTTCGATTCAAGTTGATTTGTGGAAGTATTATTTGTGGAGTTGAGATACAGCTATGAAAATTATTTTTACTAGTAATTTTTATCTATTTTTGCTTCGCTTTTGACAATTCTTTACCATCTAGTGGGTTATTAGTCGAACTTAACTCTTTCCACTCTTTAAAGCTTTTCAATTTCACAAGTTCATAATCTGAACTCTATCATCATCAGCCTATTAATGTCTCCGCGGTAGAGAACAGGCTTTCCCAATGGGTGGAATAGGGAGATTTTGTAGATGCTCAGTTGCGGTTGGAGTTGGGGGTAACGACTGCAGATGCAACAGGGACCAACGGCTTAATATGCCCACCAAAGCGGATAAGTTCGAGAAAAAAATTGGTGGTCACTGGTCACCCATCATATAATACAATATGAACGCGCTAGCCACTGCGCCATCAGTCTCCTCTAACTCCACTTACATATCGACCTTGGAAAAGCAAAATCGCTTAAACGCCACTTTATTAACGGAAACAAGGAGCAAAATGTTTTTTTGTTTAAATTCATTGCTCATTGTAATTTAATTTTGGGCGGAACGAACTTCGCTGAGTCAGCTAATTATATAAATAACACATTTTTGACCAAAGTGGCGTATAAGCGTTTTTTTCTTGCCACTGTCAATACATATTTAACACTAGCAGCCGCCCACGACTTCGACCGCGTTGACTTTAGTTTTTTGAGAATCTCACAGGAATCTAACATTTTTTCGGGATAAAAATTTTACTTTGTCTCAATCCAGGTCATATGCGTGCCAAATTTCGTGGAATCGGTTTAGTAGTTTTGAACTTTCACTTTTATGATATTAGTAGGATAATATTTAGATAGTTTGGAATGAGTCCATATCGCACTCTGCAGTGTTGGTGTGAATACTTAATCTCTTTATTTTGTAGCAAGTACGCATGATGCCGTCCATTAATACACGACCTTTAAAATTAAAACAGGTGGTGTCGGTGACGGATGTTGCCAATATTATATAATTAAACTAGCGGCCGCCCGCGACTTCGTACGCGTGGAGTTAGTTAGAAATAAAGGTTCACTGCTCGTTCCCAGTAGGTGATAGCGTGATAATATATAGCCTATATGTTGACCCGACTTCTTAATAATATTCGTGTTTCAGTTTGTGATTGAAGATGTACCCCATGTATTTTTAAAATTGTATGTAATAAATACAATGTATTCTTTAAAAAAAAATCAATGTACAGTTTTGACTTTCCTACCATTTTATTGTATGTATAGTCTGAAACTCAATTACTCAACACTATTTTCCTGTACCTGTCCATCCAGGGGCGTATTTACAATAGGGGCAAGAAGACCATGATCCGGGCTAGCAGGCCACGAAGGGCGGCTGCAAGAGCTGTGAAGGGCGGCAGAAGCCATATAAAGGCTGATATATATACTGACCTTCATAGAAAGGAAGAAAAATAAATAAATATTTCCAACACACACACCAATTAGCCTAGCCCCAAAGTAAGCACTATAAGGCTTGTGTTTTGGGATACTAGGGTAACGGATAAAATACAGATAGATAGATAAAACTTTATTCACACCAACATGCACACATACAAAATTGAATACAAATTTTACAATTATATAAATCCTTTAAAAATATAACAAATTATATTTATACAATAATACTGATATTTTCGTGTGCAGCAGCCATGCGAATGGGCGAAAACTCAGCGTAACATTTACTCCGAGAGTAAATCGCTGATTTTCAGTTCTGACCCATATAGATGAGGAGATACTGTACATATATAAGTATATTTATTTATAAATACATATTAAACATCCATGACTGGAGTACAAATGTCAACCAAGACCCTCACTCAGCATGAGCTGGTGCGACGATGGCCGCATCGGCGCTGATGTTCTTTCTGACATTTTGATTATATTTACTGATTCAAGCAAAAGCAAATCGTAAGTGACTCGGGGCGTCAGATTTATCTATTCCAAGCCCAGCTCAAACCTTCGACCCTGACCTATTTTGTTTTGGGTGTGTTTCTGCTTCCTCTGACTCAAGTCAAAGACTTTAATTTGACATGAGTAAGAGCGGGAGCATACGATACGTTGCGGCGGCGGTGCGGTGTCGCTGCGTCGTCTTTCATAGAAATATCTGTGGCATGTCACACGATGCTTTCCGGCGCCGCGCCGGACCTGTAACCACCGAGACGAGGCGCGGAGGGGTGAATGCGTTGCGACGTCGGAGCGGCACCGCTCAGTTGTTTATGCGATATAGAGAATGTAAGCTGCTGGGTTGTCCGCGGCGCCGCTGCGACGTAACAACATTGCGGCACCGCCGCACCGCTCGTGTGCCCACAGATGCGGCGAAATTATCTTTGCTTTTTTTTTTGAGTGTGTATGCTGTTGGTCGCAGATGATCTTTACAGCGTCACCGGGTTTGGGGTCGGCGAGATCCTAAGGGGACCTCAAGCCGAGAATTGGCGAGTGCCTCTAGAGGTATTCCAGGCGGATGGCGTCTCCCCACGGGAGGAGTCTCCTCTCCGTCTGGAGCCTCCACCGCTCGAACCTGAGGGGGTCGGCTCAACTAGGGGGCGTCTCTGAGACTCGGACCTCGGCTCTAGTTGTCGTGGGGGGAAAATCTTTGCGGTGCGGCGCCGTAACGCGTCGTGTGCTCGCGCACTTATACACATTAATCACAAGTCACAACATAAACTTAAAATAAAGCCATCCGCTTTAAAATGGTAACAATCGTATGCACTTATACGCACAGAACACAGAAAGCGGTTAGACAGGCCTTGTTGGCGGGTCAGGCGCGCAACAGTTATATGTGAGCAAATGCTCATAACTTGACCAAAACTTGGTTCTGATTGCGTCGTTGCTCTCAGGTGTTAGTGCCGATTGGTTGGTTGGAAAAAAAAGAAATATATCTACATGGCCGGTTTTTATTGGAAAGTTGGTCCTAGATAAATATGGAAACGAAAATCCTACCCTAAGGTTAGATGTAGGTTAGGGGTGATTGTTCACTCGCAGATTTTGATGCCGAGTTGTAAATTACAAAAATTAAAGCCACATACAAAAACTTCCTACGGGTACGGTGTCTGCCTAATGCTAAGCTAGTGTGCACGTTTGCTAGCTGTATAGTGTTAGTATTTGTGGCCTGTGTGGGAGAAATCGGAGGCGAACTATTTAGCAAAAAAATCAAACAAACATTTTTTATTTTTAATCAAATTAATATTTGGAGTCGGTACCATGCCAACCCTAGTAGTAAGTGGGAACTCAGATCTATCAGACATAGGCGGTTTAATTTTTCTTTTGCTAAAAAGTTTTTTTATTTCTTAATCTGGTCTTCCTTTAATCGACGCTGAGACATGTAAGATATGTGAGGAGCTCGATGCCGCGGGTAGCGCGTTCGGCTGCGATCGTTGTAGTTAAGCAACTTTTGCAGTGGTCGGTCATTTTTATCTCGAAATTTCTATCTCGAGTTCCTCCGTGCTTCGGAAGACACGTTAAGCCGTTGGTTCCGGTTGCATCTGCAGTCGTTAGCACCCGCCAATCAGCACTGGGCCCGCCCTGGGCATGGTGGGTCATGGCCCAATCTCCCTATTCCATCCGGGAAGGCCTGTGCCCCGCAGTAGGGACATTAAGAGGCTGACGATGATGATGATGATGGGACATGTAAGAACAACCATTTTCGTGCTATGATTTATGATTATGTATCACTATGATTTTACCGACCCTTGTTTTACCAGTCATATCCGACTATAGATATTAAATGGAAAAAATAATCTTATTATTTAATATGAATAAATTATTTAAAAAAGTTTAGAAACATCACAAGTATCGGTCTCAACAAAAAAGTTTTCTCTTCTCGAACTTTTCAATAGCTACGTTTTTTCGGGTGCATTAATCACACACATGGCTGGATGTTTGAACCTTTAAACATTGTATTGAAACAGAGGATAAGCATTAAACTTTGATAAAAAAATTATCACCTTGTGATTAATTCGCCATTGCGGGTTAATCAATTTATCATTTTACCTATCTGCAAATTATAAAAAAATTAAAAGGTAATAACTTTAAATACAAGAATAAAAAAATTGGTCTGTAGTATAAACCTAATAAAGGTATGTTGTTTTAAAAGGTATATTGTAACAATCCCGTTAATAGCTATAACACTAATAAAGGTTAAAGTACACTGAACAGCAAATAAATTGGGTCACTTGCTACCTCGGAACTCTGATTTGATGTTCTCAAAAAGTATTAAAACTTACAACTATCAAAGTTATACTTACAGAAAGTAATAAATGATGATTAAAATTAACTTATTGTGATTTATCATTTTTTAAGCAAGACTAATTATTAAGACTTTTACAAAGAAGAGTCGTTTTCCTAAAGTAATCGTGTAAGTGTTAAGTAATCGATAGTAAAAAACGGTACGTTCTATTGTGACTGGCCAGCGCGCTTGTTTTTTTTTTAAATATTGTATTGCTTCTAAAATGAGAAGTTCTAGAAGCCACTTCTTTTAAAGGTATCGAGAATAACAATGTCTCCATCCTTGTTTCTAAATTTGAATTTCTATAATGTATGTGATGAAAAAAAACAGACCACCGATTTGAGAAAGTACAATTATTATATACGGAAACATTTGTAAGGTTTAGATTTTTGTTGTCGATCTGTCTTCCGCAGTCGATTTGTCGTCAGTCTGTCTGTTTATCGTCTGTCTATCTATCTGTTGTGAATTTCCAAAAATCCTATCTTAGTGTTTTTAATCTATGTAGGTCCAGCGGTTTTGGTTTTGCGTTATGAGTCAACCAGCCAATCAATCTTTATGACCATTTCTTCTTTACATAACAGAAGAAGTTTATAAAAGAAATAATGACTCGACCTGGCTACGCACGGGAGTATTGTATTAAGTAGACACGAATCAGTATCCTGAAACAATAAGTACATTTATACGTAGGTACGAAAAATGGATTCGAAATCGGTCGAGTGGGTGAAAAATTGAATTTCACCCCTGGAGATCCCGTGTCCGTGGAATTAATAGAACAAAAGCTGTTCTTATCCTTCTACAATTTCAAACATTCAAGGAAACAGGATTTGACACTCGTAGTCTCATTCCCGTAGAATTGTTGGGAAAAATGTTGTGTTAATGTAATACTTTACAATAAAACTTTCTATTAGTGAAAGAATTTTTAAAATGGGTCAAGATGAGTCAGTCAGTGTATCCTTTTCTCTCTTTATATACTCGTAATAGTATAGAGTATAGATAGCATAGAATTGATATAGAAGTATATATAGAAGAAGACATAGATATATATTCGGTAAACTAAAGACTGCTTCAACATTATGCCCAGTTGTCATTTACATGTCAAATTATGAAGTTTTAGCTTTAAGAGTGTTTAATTAATAACAAATTAGAGCAAATCTGCTGAAAACTAGTCGAATATCTGAAATCTACTTGGTCAGGGGCATTACCACCCTGACTGACAAATTACATATCTGTCAATAAAAAATCTTGAGTTTCATCTATGCCCGATTTAGCGCTATCATTTTAAATGTGTGAGTGTCGTAATTACAATTTCGTTTTTGCGAAAGTATGTATGGACTACATTTGTGTGCATATTCCTCCCCCCCTAGCCGCATCGGCTGTTGCTCTATAGGCCATCTGGATTTTTCTGTTTAGCAAAGAGTTTGTTTTGGGCATATATGTTGAATATCTTTTTATCCCGGAATTCCCAAGGAAACGGGAACTTCGCGGGTAAAACCGCGGGGCGCAGCTAATATAAACAATTTAGAGCAAATTTGCTGAATATATTTTATAGATAACTTGCTATCCTTATTTCGCGTCGATGAGATCGAATTTCAAAAAATGTGAAACATTATTTTTTACGTTTCAGTTTAGTTAATCTGAGCTAAGTTTCAAAGCTGTCAAGCTAGCCAAACTCGTTTTCCCATACAAATTTTGAACCCCTATATCAACCAATTCACGGTGGAATATTCAAAAATCCTTGCTCGCTTGATGCCTACGTCATTTAAACAACCTATTTACTAAATATCAGGTCTCTGCAAGCAAAAGTGTAGGCGTGCGTTGAAAAAAAAACTTCAACATACTATATCTTTGATTTATGAGGGTAGTTTTGAATAATTACAACACAAATAGCATTTTTATTTTATACAGACCAGGTGTGCAAAATTTTAATCAATCCTATACACTTTTGGATGATCTCTCATACAAACTTGGACACGAAATTTAGTAATTTTTAGGGTACTTGTCAAAATTTCAAGTAACAGGCTTAGGGTATATCGATAAGATTTTACGAACAAACGTTTTTTGCAAATCTTACGTTTAAGAGGCTGAAAATCTAATCCAATTTCAAAAATCCCATCCTATACTTGTTTAGGCAATAATAGGAACCTACTGTCCTAATTTCATCGTTAAAGGTCCAGCCGTTTTGGCTGTGCGTGGATAAGTCAGTCAGTAATTCTGTCAGTGTATTCTTTTCTCTCTTTATATCTAATACTAGCTGACCCAGCGAACTTCGTACCGCCATAAAAAAAAACATTGTCCAGCGGACAAAATTGTGAATCTAAACCATTCTCAGATCCCCTTGAACACACACAAAAAATTTCATCAAAATCGGTCCAGTCGTTTAAGAGAAGTTCAGTGACATACACACTCACAGAAGAATTATATATATAAAGATATAAAATTCTCGTGTCACGGTGTGCGTAATTGAACTACTCCGAAACGGCTCGACCGATTTTCGTAACATTATATGCATATTCAGTAGGTCTGAGAATCGGACAAAATCTATTTTTCTCCCCCTAAATGTGGTCCACCCTTAATTTTGTTTTTGACAAAATTATTTTTGTTTTTATTTTTTTATGATAAATCATACAAAAATACATGCAACTCTAAATTTTCACCCTTCTACCACCAACCCCAAATTTTTTATGGCGGTACGAAGTTCGCTAGGACAGCTTGTAATAGTATAGATTAGTCACGCAGATAAAGAGATAAAATAAAATATTTAAAAAAATATGGTGAAGTAAGTAAAAATAAAACAATTTTCGTGTTTCTATTTATTAAATAATTTTAAAATACTACACATTATTTTAAATTAATATAAAACAATACCCCTTTAAATATAAGTGCGTTTTCAGCAAAAAAAATGAGTGATGTATCTAAAATTATTAGAATGTCTACTTAGCTCTACTACTTTGTACTTAGGCCCGTATTAATACTTAGATCGGTCTCTACTCTGAGAGTGTCTCAGATTTGAAAGTGATCTATTAATACGGGCCTTAGAACTGTTGTGAAACTAAGGCATTCATGAATCTTCTCAAATGCATACAAAAAATTCCGTCCAGCAGTTTAGGACATGTTCTGTTACTTACATCACTATCACAAAGGATATTATTTTACTTCTTATCTTGTCTGCTGTGTGATTTATTATAAAACAATGAGTAACCAATATACATAACAATACCTACAGTATAATTAATTATTATCTTAAAATGCAACCTAAGTAGATATAATGCTGGTCTCAAAATCACTTCAGCAACAAATCTAAAATTTAGCTGAATATTACTAACTACAAAAATCTACATAAAAATATTTCTAAAAAGCCTAAAGATAAAATATCTTAAACATTATTTAAACAAAGTAAGTATTATTTGAACCATTTTATATATTCGACTTCAATAAAATAATGTGGGAAATTCTATGACACTGACCGTTCAGTGGTTTTTAAAGCATTACAAATTAGAACGAAAATAATTGCGCATTTAAGTAGCTTAAGCACATTAAAACAAAAAAGGTTCGTATTATTTAAAGAATAATAAATAATTTGTCCATTTTAAAACAAAAAAAAAATCATTCACTTTACGTTCCATAGTTTTTCGTTTTATTTCTAATATTTTCAAGGTAATTATAGAATTGTTTTTATTTTTTTCTAGCATAACTTAAGAAAATAATGCATTTTCTTTAGATTATTGTAATTATCTTGATTCTGCTTACCTAGTCATTTCATTACTAATATAATTTTTATTCCAATTTTATAGTAAATTCTATCATCAAAATGATTTTTCTATCATTAAATACATTAAAATATCACAACTTAGGTACATCACCATTATCAACAACCAGAGATTCGATAGTTCTTAATGCCAGTTCTTAAAACATTTTCATTCTCCGTGCTCTCGTTATCATGTAACTTTTAAAATCTTATACAATTCGATATCTATTAGTAGTTTCAAAGTAATAAATACAATTGAAGGCAACAAATAATGAAAATAAAATGTTAAAATTTATAGTATGATTAGTGATGGATCATATACCTGTATTTGCTCATGGATGGATGGTTCATATACCTGTGTTAATGCTAATAATCTAATTATGTTTTTCAAAATCCTAATACTAAAACTACTTAATAAATCAGAAGAAAATATTCAATAAAAACGTGTTTCGAATGGTGCCTTAATTGTAACTGTAACTGCTGTGCGTGTTTTTTCGGGGTCATATAGAACAAAAGCAATTCCGTTCTATAAATATAAATTAATTTTATTTAATAGATTAATAGCGGCTGCACTCAAAAACGTTACTAATAAACCTCTAAGTTAACCAAAGTTGATTCTAGTAAAATTTCTTCTTACAGATGCGATAACGATAGCATAAAGCACATTCCTTAATACAAACATATAATATAATGACGTCTCTGACTGCGGCTGCAGGATAGTGTCTTATTTTAATGTTTGGTCATAGCAATGGCTATTTCCTTGAGTTTCCTCCTGTGCACCTTAGTAGAAGCCGTCATCGGTATTTCTGTCAAGAAGATCACACCACCATGAAGTTGTTTTGCCTCCGAAAGATTTTCTGAAATATTATTTTTATTATATCACTTAATTTGAATTCGAAGTCAATGGTAAGGACAATGCAACTTTTTAAATTTTCGCGTTTAATAAATTGATTTATTCGTGCTTTCAAGGAACGCTGCAACAATAGTCCTGAGTATTTCTGCAACAGGGTTTCAGTGGCTCAGGTAGTTAACCCTAAGCATTTAATTAAGTATTATTATGTAACTGTTTTAAAAATTCTGCAAATGATCTGTGACTGCTAAACGTTGAAAAAATACTGGTTAACAAAGGAAATCACTAATTCAATTTGAAAAGAAAATTTGGAAAATTTTGACCTATTCTATTGGCTAAACCCTCAGAATAAAAAAAACTGAAGCACCAAATCGTCGGATCACCTCGTTGTATAAGCGATCTTACAGCGATACACCAAAGCCCTCTGTGACTGATGACGTTACCTTTCACTAAATCCTTTATGTCCTGTTCCCGTAGCATGAGCACCACAATTCACATTATATCATGTTTCTATCGCGTCTAACTGTCAAACTTCATGGTAGTTTGACGATTGAGCGTGATAAAAAGGAGATATATATCATATCGCGGTGCTGATGCAAGGAGGGCTGGACGGTGACGTCGAACTCACAGCGAGGTACTACTCCGAATCCGAGATCTTAGTCACAGCCAAATCTAATACCCAAAGGATCTTACGGATAAAATCCTCTATCATCATCCAATCATACAACGCCCTCTACTGAGTGCAGTGTAGGTCTCCATTAAAAATTTCTACGTTGATCGATCTTGAACTGTCCGCTTCCAACGACTTTCCGCGACCTTAAATAGATAGTTGATCCACCTGTTGGGGGATCTGCCTACTGAGCGTCGTCCGGCGCGTGGTCGCCATTGAGAACCATTCCGCCCCAACGGCCATCGGGTCTCTTCACCGTGTCCCGCCTACTGCCACTTCCGCTGACCAATCCTTCTAGCGATATCGGTTACTCTAATTTTCCTGCGGATTTCCTCATTTCTGATTCTATCGCGTAAAGAAATACCGAGCATTGTTCTTTCCATTGCTTGCTGTGTAATCCTTATGAGTCACGAAGTATCACATCTATAGTTAAATACAATCTTCAACATTTTTTAGGTTGCTGTAAAATTGCTGGCCTTACCTTTCACCAAGTCCTTTATGTCCTTGGCGGTGACGTCATACCCGGGACGAGGCACTACGCAGGCAACCGGCAATTCTCCGCATTCCGGGTCTGGCACCCCGGTCACAGCCACGTCCAGTACCCCAGGATGTTGGCGGATCACATCCTCGAGCTCCACTGGGGAAATCTGCGGGTAACATGAGATTATACTTAAAAGCAAGTGTTCAATCGCCCAATGCGCTGTTTGCATTGATGATTGAGCAAGAGATTAGTTCACTGAGTCCAGTCAAACTTTATTGAACTCTCTCTCTGAAGCTCGCTCTGGTGTATTACCATTTACCGAGCGAGCAAATGTTTGCTCGCTGAGTTCATTGTTCTGAGCACTAAGTGAAAGTGCTGAAAGATATGAAAAGTTGTAGTGAATAAATTCTGGAAATCTCAGTTATTAATATTTTAGCTTAAATAAAATAAATATTGCTTTTGGGGAATCTGAAATAATAAAACCATGCAAAAAATACTCAAAATACAAATATCTAAAGTAATACTTTAATTTTGATGCGATATAAGAGAATGAAAATCCTTATTGAATGAAAGAAAATGCCATACGTAGAACTACAAAGAACCAAAGTGCATAAGCATTCGCTTACAGGAAGCGGCAAACTTTTTGAGCAAAACCACAGACAAATAAACTTGCGCAGTAAACGTTTTTAGTAAATGTCACAAAAAGTTTGCCGGGGTGTATACCTGGTTACTGTTATATTTGAGGAGAAGCTTAATTCTCTCGACGAAGTAGTAGTTCCACTGAGCGTCTCTGTAGAATGTGTCGCCGGTCTTGAACCAACGCCCGTCAGCGAACGTTTCTGCGGTCGCTTCGGGGTTATTGTAATATTCCTGTAATAAAAAAATATCGTGTGTCAAATGATATTTCACTATGCTGTATATATAGAAATACAACATAGAAATTTTTCGCCGCAAAAATAGGTTAACTTACAAGTTTTGTGTTATTTAATAAATCATGTTTAAACGTCATTCTATCTCTATTTGACTTCAAACATTTGACAAAGGAATTATGTACTATACAAATGTCGGTGTTGATTCTGGCATGATTTTCTGAACCATAAATTTTATCTGACAACGGTTTATCCTTGTCATTTTCTTCTCTAAGCAGAGCAAAAAGGAAACTGATGTAAATTTAGTTTTAAGTTTCAATAATCCTTCCAGACTCAACACCAATAACTATGTCAAACGGAGAGAATGTTGGTACAAATGGCCATACTCCACTCGTATTTCTAACCAAGTCAATTACTTGTAGCTAAGTATAATAAGAAATCTTACTTTTGTCAGTTCTTACTTTGATAAATTTCATAAGTATAAAATGAAAAATGTTGCTCAGGTCATTAATTGAGCAGAACAAATATCTTTTACTTGTTTTTAAATACGACAATAAATATATAAATAAATTATTACTTAATCTTCCATTTTATTATCAGAGCTTTGAGAATGCTTTTGAACATCTGTGAAACCTATTTAACCAATCATGGTTTACCTTAAAAAATCGATATAGATGATTTTAAGGCTTACGGAATGACTCCCGAAACCGTGCCCTCTATAAAACTATATGGATCTGATCTCTGTTAAGGTACACAATTTAAGTATCTAGGTCATACTGTAACAGGTACTTTAAAGGATGACGCTGACCTTTAAAGGGAGTGAAGGGCATTGTCTTAGAGGGCAAATATGTTGGCCCGTAGGTTTGCTCGATGTTCTGACACTGTACAAATCACTCTTTTTAAGTCTTTTTGTTCATTTTTCTACTCGAGCAGCCTATGGGTTAATGTAACCCGAAAATCATATAAAGTCCTTCGTGTCTAATACAATAATGCCTTCAGGGCACTGCTGCGGCTGCCGCGATATTGTAGTGCTTCGGGAATGTTCGCAGATGCGCAGGTCGACAGTTTCGCAATTTTTTGTTGATAGATATAACCCTATTTTTTTATATATTTTTACTAACATAGTATTAAGTATTGTATACTAACACATGGATCTATGATGTCCGAATAAGAAATGATTTGAATTCAATCTTATATTTTGTATAATATATGTTACCTTAAATATTCCCGGCCCCTTCACCCACAATTCTCCAGGGACATTAGGTTCATCGATGTCTTCTTGTGTTTCAGGATTTATTATCTGAAAAGTTCAAGTTCTTTATCATTTGATTACTGGATTATAAAATGAAAATGCGTTTATTCACATATCACGTATACTTTTTTTTAATTTTAGGCTATAAACGTAACCAACGAATTAGAAATTATTCTAATTCGTTGTACATAACACAGGACGGTCCCCGAATTCTATGACTTTGATGGATCCATTTATGGAACTGTTATTTACTTTTTAATTCGATTGTTAGCAGGGCAGTAACGTAATTTTATAATCTATACTTACTATACGGTTTAATAAAAATAAGTAAATATATATTTCCAACACTCACACCAATAGCCAGCCTAGCCCCAAAGTAAGTACTGTTAGGCTTGTGTAATGGTATACTAGGGTAACGGATAGAATACATATACTGTACATATATAAATATATTCAAATGGAAAATACATATTAAACATCCATGACTGGAGTACAAATGCTCGTATTCATCACACCAACATCTGCCGGGATTCGAACCCGGGACCTCTCGAGTTGGCGACACCATGAAACCCGACGTACAAACCACTCGGCCACGGAGGTCGTAAAAAATAAAAATATATATCTTTTAAAAACTTGCTCATTTATTTGTTTAAAACTTTCTTCTATTTTGAGCGACAATAATCCAGAAAGTCATAGAGACATTAAATATATGTTAGCCGATGTGACTCTGTGACAAGTGATTGATATGGCTTAACCGTATCTAAGAAATCAATCTAGATATTATCGCAGCGGACCCTTGTGGAGCTCGATGGCGCGGATGGTTAGCGCGTTCTGCTGCGATCGTTGAAGATTGCAAAGCAACTTTCGCAGTGGTCGGTCATTGGATGGATGACCAAAAATTTACTATCTCGAGCTCCTCCGTGCTGAGGAAGGCACGTTAAGCCGTTGGTCCCGGCTGCATCTGCAGTCATGAGCACCCACCAATCCGCACTGGGCCCGCGTGGTGGGTCATGGCTCAATCTCCCTATTCCATCCATAGGGAAGGCCCGTGCCCAGCAGTGGGATCATGAATAGGATGATGATGAACCCTTGGTACTACCTTGCAGTACTCCAGCATGAAACAGATAAAATTATAAAGTATCTATTCCTGTAAAATCTCATCACGAGCAGGCCCTATGTCTTACTCTAGGTAATTAGGTAATAAATAAAGTAATTTGTGTGTAACATCTAACATTGATTCGGTTGACGAATCAATGTCAGATCTATTTGTTAATATATTTAAACATTGATTATATCATTAATAATAAAAAAAAGCTGTGCTGTTAAAGAAATATGTTTTCTTTGTTTTTCAGTAAGTAATCAATTTAAAATCTTTTATTAATTTATATTTATAAAGTGATTGAATTAAAATGTGTGTCAAAACACTTACACGGTATTGAAAGCATCCTACGGGTTTCCCACACGACCCCGGAGGAGGATTGTCCCCGTGGAATCCAATCGATGTCAATTCTGTCATTCCATAAGTGTCTATAACCTCAGCGTCTGGTGCAACTTTCTGAAAGCAATGGATTTATATAAACATTATTCGAGTTATAAATTTAACTAGTTACGTAGGCATGCATTCATAAATTTTAAATAAGCATTTCTAACTCACACCAATTAGCACAACCCTAAAGTAAGAACTGTAAGGCTTATGATATAGGATACTACGGCAACTAGTAATACAGATAATTTAATTTTTTGGAGAAATTCATATGAACGGTCTTTCCATGATTTGGGTACAAACGCTCGTACTTAGCATATAAACACTTGTACCGCCCAGATTTAGACCCATGACTGCTGTGTAGTATTCTACATACTACGAAGTTGGAATTGTTTTAAATACATATTTTTTCTCGTTCAATACCTTAATCTCATTAATGAGGGTTTGCGGGACAACACTACCACCAAGTAAAATCATATTTAAGCTTGTAAAATCACATTGATCACGAATGTCTGGCTTCATCAATTTTGTCATCAGAGTTGGACTCAGTATTGTGAATGTAGGCTGAAAACAATATAATAAGTTACTTAAATATATCAATACTATAATACAGATTCCAGATAATGTACAAGAAGCAAAATCCATCAGTATGCTACCACATATGCTACCCTAATCAAATATTAACAAGCGAACAAACGTATTCTACGCTCCAAAGTTCGTTACAAGTATTTTATCTAAGATTCTAGTTAAGATTTTTTTTCTTTTTAATAGTATTTTACTTACCTTGTATGTATTAATAAGGTAGTAAGCATGTTTCTGCGTCAGAGTGAATGATGTCTGCAATCTGGTGTACCGGAAAATCGGTGAAAGTATAAAATTCATGATTGCGGTCAACCATTGCAGGGGCGAGCCAATCAACGCCACCTCGGTTGGAGTAGGGAACTGGTAGTATCTTGACCTGTTCAAAGAATTCCTTAGTTAATAGCATAGAATTTTTATTTGGGGAAGGTGCGGTATTTAGATTTATACCAGCATCTCGAGTAACACCAATAAATAGGGCGCTTTCAATTTATGCTATAATATTTATTTATATATATATTTATTTTACGGATGATCCTTTTTTTTTCACACAAAACGCGCGGTGCGGCAACAGTGCGGCGCCGGTATCGCAAACGCTCGACAACAGGACTGTTGCCGCACCGCGCGTTTTGTGTGAAAAATAAGGATCGTCCGTACGCTGTACGACAAACGCACCACTTCGGCACCGCAGCAGGCCGTCAAGAAACGCATAAATTGAAAGCGCCCATATAGTACCTATGCAAGGCAAAAATATTCAAGAAATATCTCCCCAGTGTTTCCTATCTCTAAAATATGTACCTATTTAATTATTGTTTTGTTTTACTATTAAATTTCTTCAGTGCTCAGTTAATTCTGCGTTTTATATTCCAGAAGGAAATCTGTCCTGGACTCACCACAGATAAGGTCCAGTGATGGCTATATTTTTATGCGTGACTGCTGCAGATTTTGATACACCTGTAGTACCACTGGTTGGAACCAGCAAAGCTATTGTATCCTCAGGATCAAAGTCTGCGGCTCTAGAAAAAGAAAGTTTTTTGTTTTTATTACAAAAAAGAAGTTTATATTGTATTTGAAAATGTTACTAGATCATGTAGTTGCATATAGAGTGAGTTATCACGACAGAACACCAGAAAGAGCTTTCCATGTTCTGCTGAGTTATTTTCAGAACTTTCTGTTAATAAAGGCTAACCTTTATCATAATAATCTAGATCAAAATTCTTAAAAACAATTCAAATGGAATCTCCAGCATAGGTACTGACTGCATCTATAACAGCATCACTTATAACTTTACGTAAATAACATATGAGAGTTACATTAAAATGCCTGTCCTTAATTACAGTCAATTGCATCCAATTTGCTGCGTACAGCGGCTATCGGATATGCATCCACTTGATATGTTTGTTATTGAAAGTAAAGAATCTGTTTACAACTGTTCAGGTTACAACTACTTATTTAATGGCAGTATAATCATAGATATATTATTTTTAATCTAATGACGCTTTATATGATTAATTAGTAGATATCTTTATTTATTTTGCGGTCTCCGCGACGACGGACACCCGCTTAACGGTGCGCACGCTCTAAAATAAACACGCCGAGAGGACGCCCGCTACGGTACGCACGCTCTAAAATAAACACGCCAAGCGGACGCCCGCTTCGTGCCCCGTCGCCCGTGAGGTGGGTCTATGAAACAAACACGCCGAACGGACACCCGCTCCGTGCCCCATCGGCCGTGAGACGGGTCTATGAAACAAACACGCCGAGCGGACGCTCGCTCCGTGCCTCGCCTAACGGTGCGCACGCCCTTATTTATATCAAAAATTAGCAAGTTCGAGTCAGGTTTGTTTAAAAAAGAGTACGTTGCATTATATTCAATATAACACAAATCGAGCATAAAACATCGAATAGATAGTAATACTTTTATACATTGTATTAAAAAACATATTATTACATTACGATAACCAAATTCTACGTGTGACACTAAAGTTGAAGCATGCCAACCAATGTCTTTTCCTCTAGAGGTCGACCAATATCAATTTCCCGACCGTCACACTGCACTGGTGTGACAGGGTTCCCATCCGTAACAGTAGTGTTTGCTAGTGTTAAGGTCGGGTAAGAAATATACCCACCTTAACACAGGTGTTAATGTTTGTTGACGACGGGGAATGCGTGGGAAATACCTAGGTACACGTTTCTTGTTCGAAAGCCTCCTTTGGTTCGCTTTAATTTATAATACGGTTTCCTTGAGCACTTCTGGTATCGGAATAAAAAAAAATAGGTTACATGGTATCAAAGTACTATGCGTGCATTGCACTAAAGATAAGGGTCGTATTTTCGTATCGTTGTTTTGAGCTTACGAAGCTCATGATAATGTCACAGCCGTCAATAATGTGATTGATTGACAGTAAAATCTACAGTGAAGACCTCGATGATAACAAAGAATTTTTCATTCGCAATGTATGTTTTAACATATATAAAGTAAAAAGAGGCCTACTTCTACTACCTACTAGAGAGAACTACTTCGGATCTTAGATTAGTAAATAGATACAGAGGATTTTGGTTAAGATTTGATCCTGATGCAGACTGTCTACAAATGTATGATTATTGATTACGATACATGATCGCTGATATAATGGTATTTATTTTCTACGTCATCAAAAAAAGGCTAGACTCGGATCATAAGGATGAAAGTAGTTTTTACAAGGTAAAAAGTTTTAACAAATCTCATACAATATAATGTTTCTTGAAGCTAGTAAGTCTCTTTAATCTTCAGATAACTATTTACCAACTTCGTTAAGCATTTGTTTATTAAAATAGCTATATAATGCCATAATCTAAATAGTAGATTTGTACCTAGTAAAGCACGTAAGTGTAACTATACAAAAAAGTTACCATTTTCTTCCAAAATAAGATTTAAACTGTTATGAGAGACCTAGACGCCATCTGCTGCGTTTCCACTAAGCTCAGAATAGTTCAGAACTAGTAAAGATTTGCTCGTTCGGTCAATGGAAACATCAGAGCGAGCGAATGAGTTCATACAACGATGTTTGACTGGACTCAGGGAACGAGTGCTCCCTTGCTCAGTCAACAATGGAAGGAACGAAACATTGTTCTGAACATTCCATTTACTGAGCGAACAATAATGTTTGCTCGCTCCGAACTGTTCTGAGCATAAGGTGGAGACGCAGCATTAACCAACAAGTTCAAAATTATGTTCTTACCTGAATTCATCCACATTGACGTCGCTTCCATTACCGTCAAGGAACTCCTTGAAACTGCACAGGTAATCGCCTTTATCGAATGTCACAATCTGAGTATTGAGGTCGATTTTATTCAGAGCGAGTTGTATGGTAGTCGCTTTTTCGCTTTGACAGAACACCATACTGGGTTTGATCACCTTGAAAGTTTCACGAAGTTCATCTAAAATAGAGATAAATAAATCATAAGATTTAGGATCACCTACACAAAATTTGAAAATCAAATTTAAATGCCAATCATGCTTATACCTCACTCTAATTGACGAAAAATTTAATTGGAAATTTAAAAACCCAAGTAAATCTGAATAGTGAAAAATTTAAAAGATTAACGTTATTATTACATTATCATCTCCATTTGCACAGGAAAAGGCTTTAGCTTGAACTAAAACAGGGCTAATGTGATTAGAAACATGCAGATACCTTACAAAATGTGTCTCCAAATCAAACATCGTAACATTACAATACAATATCATCAATTTAAATATGCATGATAGCATATCGTGTTATGAAATCTAACACAACAAATTATAATATCATTAATATATATACATACGGACTCCCAACATTCTGTCCACTGGAGCTACAATGACTCCAAGATACAGGGCCGCATAGAAAGGCATAGCCAGGTCTATGTGATTTGGAGCCACCAGTACCACAACGTCCCCTTTCTTGAGACCCGCGGCTTTCATCGCCATGGCGCATCGCACAGATCGGAGCAAAGCTGATTGATTTGTTTCTCTCTCGTCTGTTCCTCCGTCGATCTAAAAATGGTATCAAGGCATCAGTTAATACTACTTGGAGATAATGACTTAGGTTTTTTTCATCGTCTATCAGGTATATTACAAAAAAGTATTGGACACTCATTTTTTTCTTTTTACGTACATTTAAGCGAAAGTCTGCCCAATTGTTTTCCATATTTGTAAAAAACTAAGCTTATATAATTCGCTGGGTCAGGAAGGAATCAAATTAGCTAATAGTACTTAGTTACTTATTGAAATTGACCCAATTTCTTACATTGGCCCTTAATAAGATCTTTCGTAATTTAAGTTCAAATAGTGAATACGTCAGACAGAATATTGCCGCAATAACATTTGGTCGTTAGCCCGTATTCGGGTGCACGAAGGACATTACTCGAATTAGGGCATCCGAAATAATATTAACACTGGAATACGGGCTGGAAGACGGTGTAGGGTAAACAAAAGGAAATCTTCTTGAATACGGGCGTACTCGACTCCGTTCTTTAACACTTACTCGCTTACCCGTTTTCCATTGGCACTCGTATTCTGGCTAATAAACAAATTTAATCGCTCTGTAAGTTAGAATACACTAACGTCGAATAGCGGTCATGGGACTCATGGGCGACTATTGATAAAGTGGTAATTATGATGAATTGTTTACAACTTCTTGGCAAGTACTTATTATGATATGTACAGTCAACAAAGTAGTTCATTCCAACAAACATTGTAACGAGAACGTGCCGAAAAAGTAATTTTATTTCAACAACCATTAAAAGTAAGACGATACTTTGTATGACCGATTCCGTGGCCAAGGAGCGATCCCGCTTATTTTCCTTAAAATTCATTACACGAATATGTCATGTATATTACACTAGTAGGCGCGCGACTTCTTCTGCGTGGAATAACTGGTCTCCCATAAAAAGGCACCCCTTTTCACCGCCTTAAAAGGATGATATCGAGAATAAAAACTATCTTTTATCCTTTCCCAGGACTGACCCGGGAGAATCTATATCTATACAAAATTTCATCTTAATCAGAGGTAACAAATCAGAGGCGGGGTCGGGCTCGTTGTTCTATGTCCCAGACAGACCGGCACACTTTAGTATTTATAATATTAGGATGGTTTGAAGTAAGTCCTTATACCAAAGGCAAGTAATAAAATTTAGGGTTATAATAATTAGTATAATTTTTCCTCTTTTTTAGTCGTTTAAATTATTCCATTATCATTTATGTAAATAGCATTAGTTTTGGCCAATTTTCATAATTCTATACTCAAAACCCCACAAATTGTGACGGGAAGGAATATAAATAAGTATGTGTGCATTTCTCTCTTCCACAGCACTCACCTGCATCAGGAAATCTGGAGCATCCTTGAAGCTCTGCAGAATTATCTTGCCCATGTGAAAGCGATCCGTGGCTATTCCCGATTCTGCCACAATTCTGGCAGTCAGCTCTCCCACGAACCTATGGACGGCGTCGTTGGAGTACCTGGGCAACCTCATCTTCCTGTGTGAAAATTTTCAATATCACCATGCGTTAAACGAAGGAAATCAATTCTAGTAAATAAAAGCATTTTTTTATTAATTTCTGAATATTGAACTACCAAAGTAAAATATATCGGAAGACTATGACTCGCCAAAAACAAGGTACCTGGTAGCCATCCCGTAAAACATAAAAATCTTTAATGTAATTGACCATGACCATAAATGGCTGCCAAACATGGGTTCTTACATGAATGGGATGGGAATCGGAAAGATTAAAACTGTGGTATTGTCAACGCACTGTGGAATAAATCATGATTGATGAAGCTTAGATTAAATGACAAAATATTCCACAGTTTTATCAGGAAATACACTATAACAAAAACCATATGTAGCTTTAAAGACAATACTGCTAAAGTGGAGATAGCCAGTTAATACATCAGAGCAGAGGACTTATGGAGCAAAATTTTTACGACCTACCCCAGGGAAGGCAAAGGGAAAATTCGAAGGCAACGCAAACGATATGAGGGTGACCCTGCTGCCGCAGATGGCTAAACATGGACCAGATTTGCTCGGGACTTACATCAATGGAAGTTGTTGGAGTAAGCCTTTGCTTTAAATCACACAGATTACAAATAACATTATCCAAATAATATTATGAAAGTTTGTATGTTTGTTGCTCAATCAAGCAAAACTACTAAACGGGTTTGGATGAAATATTGTACGCAAATAACTTGCAATAAAAGAAGCTGTTGATGATACTGAGGGTTCATCATTTAGCCCTGGCATAAATGACTCCACGTAAGGTATGTGTAAACGTCTTTTGCAACTTTGAATGCGTTTTCTCAAAACGGTATTTTCAATGTCCGTGAGCACAATTTCTCAAAAACGGCCCACCCGATCGGTCTTAAATTTTAAGACAACCTTCTCAGATATATTCTTTAGGGATTGATCTAAGGAATTAGATATGTAATGATAATTATTTCTTTTTGAAGTTATACTTCTTTAGGCGCGTTATGAAAAAATGATGAGAGTGAAATTTTTAGATGCGCGCGCATCACTGTAACCCAAAAGTAACAGCATGAAGTTGGCCGCGGGCACGTTATGAAAAAATCATGTGAGTGAAATTTCGAGATGCGCGCGCATCACTGTAACACAATAGTAACACCATGAAGTTGGCCGCGGGCGCGTTATGAATGTTAGTGTCTAATAATGGTGGATTATTAACCACTTAGTGGTTAATAATCCACCATTATTAGACATCTGTTCGAAAGGTACTTTGAACGATCCACGGAGCTCCACAAGATGATCGCGTTGTCAAAAACAATGTTGGCACGCTCGTCGCCTCTGATCACTGTTTTCATATTTATAATATTTATCCACATGTTTCTAGTTTCTATATAGACACAACGTGTTTTAGTTACTTACAAGTGCTAATTACATATGGACTAATAACTTAAATTCAGTAGTGATTTTAATTGAATATTTTGAATATTTATTTAATTTTTCAAATTAAAACTGAACTTAATTGACTGTGTTAACTATCCTTTTCCAGTCCTTTTATTATTTTATTGTAATTATTAATTATTTGCATGCAATTAAAAAATATTTTTAATGATGCTAAAGAAGTATAACTTCTCACGCGCGTACATAAGTTACACGCATCCATTTTTTTTTTTAAAATAGGGTATTTGACAAGTTTTAGAAAACGATCTCACGTTATTGACTAATGTTTATGGAGTCCGTAAAAAGTGGAAATTCATCATTCTGCTGTGTATTTTAGTAAAAATAACCAAATCAAAAACTCCATTTTCAAGTTGCCGCGAAAACGTTTCTCTGCATAATATGGCGTCTTACTAGTGTGTGACGTCACACGACTGTTATTAAAACGTCAAACGATACAATGTAATGTCATTTTAACCGGAAGTTTACTTGCGTGTGACGTCATTTCAGGCTCCGCCAATCCCAAGCGTTTTGGGTCACGGGACAATAGATAAGAAAAGTATTATCTTTTTCGTGGGTTTTTAGTAAAATTATGAATATTTTTTTGTAAAAGTAGTAAAATCCCCTAACAATATTCATTCTAAACACAGATGCTAACAATTGGCACATTATTTTAATACTGTCAAATACCCTATTGAACGATAACAATTTTGTCGCAAATTTGTTTTTTTTCTTTTCCGAGCTAAAATTTTGTCTAAAGTATAAATTTTATCTATTCCTTCAATCAATACCTAGATTTATTCATCCACTAATAGAATTATGGTTTTTGTAATTTCAGATAAACCAAACCGGAGATATGTTGCTCACCACCAGACACCTCTTTTTGGTGGTCCTCCAGAAGACCATCTACAGGAGTAGTATAAATTAATATTTCTAAAATTAAAAACACCCCAGTGAAGTAAAAAGTTACCATTACACTTATTAAATACCTTTGTATTTAAAAAAAATATCACTAGAAAAAATTCCACGCGGACCAGGCAGCAGACGGGGCTTGAACCCGCACCAATAAGCATCATCAAACCGTTACATGCTTTAAAGAAATAAAAATTATAACCCTTGTATTTGTCAAATGAAATTCCTATTCAGAAAAAAATCGAAAAGAAACGCCTTGCAATTGCGTACAACCCAAGGTACAACCCCTTAAAATTCATGAAAAGTTTTGACGCTGTGGTAGTGAAGCGCGCGTGAATAACAGTGTTCTTTTTTTGAAATTCATAATACCTCGCATCGAGCAGTGAAAATTGTGGCTGTCTGATGAATAAGCACATGGCGCGGGAAAGAGTGTTATTAAGAACATTTAGTACAACAATAAAAAAAACATTATAACACCCATTTGGGTGTCCCATTAGCTCGAACTGAAAGTATAAAGCCACTATCTGTACCAGTCAACTTTTAAAAAAATCATAAAAAAAGTTGGAAGAGCGTTATAATATATATTTTTTTTAGCATTTAACTGCTTGATGTTTCAATTAAAATATAATTTTACTAGAAAAAGTCCACACGGTCCCGAAATTCGAACCCGCATCTTCCGCTATCCGAGCAGACGCACTAACAAATTTTCTTTGGAAGGGCATTACAAAAAAATTCTTTGGAAAGGCTTGTGTTGATGAGTTAGCAACACCCTTTTCTATGCTAATTAATCAATCATTTTTGGAAGGAGAGTTTCCCAAGCTACTTAAACAAACAGTTATAAAACCTGTGCATAAAAAGAAAGATGTAACTGATCCAAACAATTATAGACCAATAGCCTTGTTACCAACAGCCTCAAAAATCTTTGAAAAGGCGATGTGTGATCGCGTCTATAATTTCTGTGAAAAGTTTAATATATTCAACGAATGCCAAAATGGGTTTAGAAAAAATAGGTCCACTACATTAGCCGTTTATAAATATACTGAGGAAATATTAAAAATTCTAGATAATCGCGAATATGCGGTTGGTGTCCTGTTGGATATGACGAAAGCTTATGACAAAGTACAGCATAATGTATTATTACGTCAACTTTATAGCATAGGTATACGAGGTACAGCGCATAAGTGGTTCACGTCGTATCTAAAGGACAGAGAGCAATATGTTGATATAGAATACTACAATCAAAATACCCAAACAATACAAAACATCCGGTCAAATTGTACAATAGTGAATTCGTCTATACCACAAGGAAGCGTAATAGGATGTTTGTTATTTCTAATATATATCAACGATCTTCCAAAAAACATCCAAGTTCCAACTATTTTATTTGCAGATGATGTATCTTTAATTACGTCATGCCATAACACTATCGATTTGCAAGAAAAAATAACTAATTTATTCGATAAAATATCTAACTGGATGAACGAACATCATTTGGAGATTAATTATTCAAAAACAAAACTCATGATATTCCATCCACCCCAAAAAAATACATTACCAGTAAATTTTATATATAATAACAAATGCATCGAGTTAGTAACGCAATTTAGGCTGCTAGGCGTGATCATTGACAGGCACCTGAACTGGAAAGCTCACATAGCGGCTACAAAATCTAAATTATCAAGTTTTGCTTACGCTCTTCGAGAGACTAAAAAAACAACGAACTTAGAAACGGCCAAAACTGCATATTATGCCTATGCTCACGCGTGGCTTAGCTATGGGGTAATCTTGTGGGGGAGCAGTGTTGATAGTACCACCTTATTTACAGCTCAAAAGAAACTCATTCGTATACTTGCGAACATAGAGCAAACAGACAGTTGTAAACCCTATTTCAAAAAATTCGAGATTCTTACTTTGCCCTGTATATACATATTAGAGATTTGTAAATTCACTCGTAAATATCCAAATTTTTTTAAAAAGCGAAATGATACATCATCACGGTACACATCACGACATGGACATAAACTGCTTATACCAACTACAAGGCTGAAAATGAACACATCTGGTCCACTTCAAATGGCTGTCAAAATTCATAATAAATTACCTAAAACGTTAGTTGAGGAAAAGGTTGATAATATATTCATTGAAAATATTAAAAAGCTACTATTAAGCAAATGTTATTACACGGTTAAGGAATTTTTAGAAGATAATAATTTAAAGTAATGATAACTACAATTTAATTTAATTTTTTACTATACCTGACATTTTATTAATTTAATTTATTTTGTATATAATAAAATTGAATATAAATATAACATAATATACCATAGAATATGACATAGATAATAATTCAAATAATATAATATTTAGCTAAAATGAATAAATAATGTTGATATTATTATATTTTTATTTGTTGGGTAAAAAATTATCGTATTTGGCTGGTAAATTGTATACGTACTAACTACTCGTAAATTACAATTAGTGAGTGCGTCCTCTTCTCTATTTGCTGTGCCCTGTTCAGGGTCTACAATGATCAAAGCAATGTACCTACTAAGATCTAAGAAAACATTGTAGAACGCAATAAAGTATTGATTGATTGATTGATTGAAAAAAATGTTGTCCTTAATTTAAATAGTACAAATCAGAACCAACTAGATAAAAGAAGTTTTTTTTGTTTCTTCTCTATATATGAAAGTGTTACTAGGAGTAAACTGGTTATTATGACAAGGTAGTATGTTTTCCATTTTCGAAAAGCTTCCTAACTATTTACTGGGTTTCCGTTGTAATTTTAAGAAGTACTGACTGTAAAATTTCTGAATTACTGCAATGGATTATTATTTACTAAATTTTCTAGTTATTATTATATTCTTAGTGTACATTTTCATTCCTATCTGAAATAACACGAAAATAAAAATCTAAATTCATATTAATAATGCTTATTACAACACGATACCAAAACCTAAAAAAACTTAAAAAACTCCCAGGTCACCATAAAATGAAAATTTAATTAAGTTCTCTAAAATAACAAAAATTTTAAAACAAGAAGTGAAACTTTTAAAGTAAACCTTTAAAAATTTAAAAACCTTTAATAATTAGTTGATTAACTTTGGCTTATTGAAAATGAAAGTCTTTCCTCTAGGAACTGAGAATCGAACCCAGATCGCCTGCGCTCTAGCCGAGCTTCATACCATTGAACCACCGCTGCTTGTAGATAAGATTTGTTTTCTTTTAAACAATTACTTACTACTAAAGATGAACGGAAAAAATATGTGGCGATGTAAAAAGTTACACTTTAAAAAAAGAAACTACTTCACTGTATCTATTAAAAAGGTCGTAAGCAAACGTTATTTAACAAACACTTACCGATTTGCAAAAACTCTATTGTTACAATAATAGAAAAAAAACTTTAGTATTCACTTAATTCACGAGCAACCACAATACAACACTAGTTATTTCTGCCGGAGTCGAGGGCATAATATGCTTGATAATGTGCGACGGCATTGTATATATAAATCTAGGGCAGAAATATGACATACTTAAGGACTGGACTACACAAGTCATCTTGTTTACAAAAAAAGTAAAATATAGATAAGCTGACGATGTAAACCAAGCAGATAGATAGAAATCAAACTTGACCGTCATTGCCCGATCGATATTAGAACAAAACAAATAAGGTAAAAGACGGATATTGTCAATAAGTTTGTATATTAAAGAAAAGATATGATATATTACTGAAAGAGGACATCATTTTATTTTTAATAATAACTAGAACTGCCGTCACAATTTTTTAAAATCGCCTGCAACAATCGGGAACCAAACTCGTGAAATGTGCAACAAAACAACGGCCAAGTGCGAGTCGGACTCGCACCAAGGGTTCCGTAAAAACAAAATTTAATACCTATACGTGTTCATTAAAAAAGAGGTTGTAACTTTAAAATTTACAAAAATATTTTTTATTATTACATATATGATGTAACTAAAAATTTACAGTTTTCGCGATTTATCCTTTATCTGTACTATAAGACGTTACTTCGTACCTTTCAAGATTCTAAGTTCACGGGAAGTACCCTGCAGGTTTTAACCCTCGAGTTACGAAAATTTGCGGCATAAACGGTATATTTTGATTGCTTAGAACTTTGCTTTTTTCACAGCTCCAAGGGATAACACATGAGTATTAGATATAAATTTTAGTTTGATACCTCCACGCGTTCTTCGACGCACGGACAGACGGACGGACGGACAACAAAGTGATCCTATAAGGGTTCCGTTTTTCCTTTAGACCTGGAGTGGATGTATGGTTCGCTAATTCGGGTTGTAACGAGGTTCAGATATCTGGGTCATATATTGAATGGACAGCTCAACGATGAGGACGACATGGAGAGGGAGAGAAGGGCTCTTGCGGTGAGGTGCAATATGCTCGCAAGGCGGTTCGGCGGATGTTCGAGAGACGTCAAGATAATGTTGTTTAAGGCGTACTGCCAAACGTTTTATACATGTCAACTTTGGCTGAGATATACAAAACGTTTGTTTAATGTGCTGCGAGTCCAATATAATGACGCCTTTCGCATCCTGCTCAAAAAACCGCGATATTGCAGTGCCAAGGAAATGTTTGCTGAAGCAAATGTTCCCGATTTTTTCTGTATCCTCAGATCGCGGTCCGCTTCGTTCTGGGAGAGGCTCCGTGAAAGTGGGAACTCCATTCTCCGCAACATCCACGATGACGTGGACAATGTATTTTTTAAACATTGGAATAAATTACATCGTTTTGGAAATGACAGTCTGAAATAAACATTCAGCAAATCCTATGTTATTTTTAAGTAATTTTATAATATACAGTTTTATTTTTAATTTTTATTATCAATTTTGTCAATTTTGTCATATGGGTCTTTTGCCTGAAATAAAGAAATTATTATTATTATTATTATAATCAGTAGGTCTGAGAATCGGACATCTATTTTTCTTCCCCTTAAATGTTCAGGGTGGTCCACTGTTATTTTTTTTTTGGGACAAAATTTTATGCTTTTATTTTTGTATGATACATCATACAAAAATTCATACAACCCTAAATTTTCACCCTTCTACCATAACCTCTATTTTTTATGGCGGTACGAAGTTTGCTAGTATGATTTTTAAAAATCTTAATCTTGAAAGCCGGGCTCGCATTCGTCATTTAATTTTTAGAATAAGATAGCACTTCGCTTTGACAAGCATTAAATTTGTTTGACTATTAATTCTCAATGGCTTTATAAAGTCACCATGAAAAATATATATTGAGAGGTTTTTCTATGGTCTGTATTTGTTAGTTGGTTTAGTATACCCCCCGGCAAACTTCTTGCGTAATGACCACAGACAAGGAAGCCTGCGCACTAGCAATTTTTAATACAAAATCTTCTACTGCGCAAGTTGTCCATAGTTTTGCTCAAGAAGTTTACGACCTAGGTATATCGTACCACATATTTGTCGCATATGTATGTGAGCCGCCGCCTGATAGGAAGTATCCTTCGCCTCGCATAACATAACCATAAAAAGTATACCTACTTACATAGTTGGAGAGGAGTCCAAGGTCACCTTGGGTGTACCAACCGGTTCAGTTTTTGGACCGGTTGGGTACGTGATGTTGGTGAACAGTGTTGTTAATGTCATAAAACTATGTAATGTATTAATGTATGCTGATGACATGTGCCTATTATATGCTTCAGAAAATATAAACGAAGCTCGAAATGCAATTCAGGAAGATTTCGATAATATAGTTGAGTGGGCGCATGACAACGGCATTATTATAAACATAAATAAAACGAAAGCGATGCACATATGTTCCTCTTTCGCCAGAAGGTCTAATCGTATAAATTACAATAATATAGGAATCGTGGGACATACATATGACTGCTTGCACAATAGCACAAATAGCTGTGAATGTAAACCTTTAGAATATGTTGTCAATTATAAGTATCTAGGGTTGTTAATAGATAAACATTTTCATTTCAAAATGTATATAGATACATTATGTGGGAAAATAAGATCTGTTTTAAGTAGATTTTATCTACTGCAATATGCAGTAAACAGGCTAACACTTCGTGTTGTATATTATGCTTTAGTGGATTCGTTGCTGAGCTACGCTATGGTTGTATATGGTCGTACCTATAAAAGCTACATAAGAGGTCTATATGATTTACAGACAAGATTAGTAAAGTATCTAGTTAGTAAAAATGATAAACATAATTGTAAAGGAAACTATAGAATGTTGTATTCAGTGACAAAAATACTACCAATAGATTTAAAAATCAAATATCAATTAGCTGTAGATTTTTATTATGATGACAGGTTTAAAATCCCTGTTGCAAATAAGTATAACACCAGAGGTGTCAGAGGGGGTAAATTAATAATCCAAAGATATAAAAACTGCTACGGTAAAAGATTAAATAGATACTTGGTGCCGATTATGTACAACGAAATGGCGTGGCTTAGAAAAGAACCTAAGTTTACAAAAAAATCTTTAAAATCTAATATCTATAAAAAATGTGTTACTAAAAACTATATAAAATATTGTTGCGGTGATGTGGAAGGGTGTGATATATATAATGTCTGGTTCACTGTCGTATTGCTGCTGTTGTGTATATGTTTTGTTTGTATTATTATTTAGATTGTAGTGCACTTGTAAAGTAATTAGTTTTAGCGCAGTTACTTGCCAACAAACTGTTCTCAGTTTGGCAAGATTTAATGTTTTGTTATCAAGTGTACCCAAAGTAAATACAATAAATAATAAAAAAAAAAAAAAAAAAAGTTACCTAGGTACTAGATCATTACAATAGCTCATTGTGAGTTTTGCTGTTTTTACAATGATTACTCGATTACCCAGTACTTGAGATCGTATTATATCCACATAAGTACATCGAATACTAAGGCCCGTGTTATAGAAAGTTTCCCAGTGATTGATCTAGTCTTGAGCATAGTTAGAAAGGGATATCTACTATATAAAAATAAGTCGTGTTTTCCTTCCTGACGCTATAACTCCAGAACGCACGAACCGATTTCCACGGTTTTGCATTCGTTGGAAAGGTCTCGGACTCCGTGAGGTTTATAGCAAAGAAAATTCAGGAAAAATTAAAAAAAAACTTCTTTTAATCACCAAACGAAATGTTACATAAAACGAAGCCATCTGGTGGCGAAACGGTGTTCGCCGGGTTTGCTAGTCGCTATATATAACACATAGCGACATCCCTTTCTAACTGTACTCAAGTAAAGATCAACACTTAGTAGTCATTCTGTAATACTAATACGGGCCTTAGTCTTCCGATAACTTTATAGAAGGAACCTTAATTTAAGTGCAGAACCCCCGAATGATCACGAAATTGTCTGCCTGTCACAGTCGATTTGCTTAGAATCTACTCGACTGATCCAGTTGTAATTTGGGACGTAGGTATATATGTGTCTAATAATCGTAATATATGTATATAAATCGTATTATAAACGCGTATAGAGGTTTTTAATGAAATCATCATCAGCTTATTTATGACCCCACTGCAGGGACACAGGCCTTCCCTATGTATGGAATAGGGAGACTGGACCGTGACCCACCACGCGGATTCAGTGCAGCTGGGTGCTAACGACTGCAGATACAGATGGGACCAAATGATTCGTATGTTACATAAACTGAAATACGACTTAACCGATTTCAAAAATTCTCTCACCATTACGATGCTTCACAGTCTCGGAGTAACATAGGCTATATTTTATCGCGTTGAAATATTGTTCACCCGTCCAAAGCTAGTTTATTAATAACAATATAAATAACCAGTCTTCAGATTCTTGATTTGTATGCGGTTCGCATTAGCATTCAGTCTCTCATCACAAAGCAAAACTTGCAGAATTATGTAGATGGTCCAAGGACGGAAAATCATACAAACCATTATAACAAATTAGGTAATTGAATAATTTGATTCTAATGAGACATAATCACGAAGAACAACCTATTTACAGCAAAATTAGATACACCTCGTGATAATTATTCTTATAATCATAGCTTTTGTATTATGTTCACTTAGAAAAATTAGGCATCCCAGCGTCTTAGATCAAATAAAAAAGCCCCAGGTATATACGATTTAAATCTTCGACGTAGGTACGATAGAAGTTTATTGTTTGTTGGAATTTCCATGATAATTACAATATGTAATAAATTCAGATAACTGCTTTGTTTACCTTTTTTTTTCATTTCTGGAACGGCTTGTTCGTTCGTTCGCCACCGGGAGCGTGCGACAAGGATATCTGTTGACCCTACTATTTTTTTGCCCCTTAAGGGGCACCCTGCACACCAACGAACGGACCACACACCTAGCCTCTCGCAAGTCTCACGGGTGCGAAACGGAAGAGCCGTTAAGCAGTCCGCGGGGCTTAGAGCGCCTGCGGCATACTATCCGCTCTTAAACCCTGCGAATACCCTCTACGCTATTAACCTACCAACAGCCTCCAGGCCTGACTTCACGGCAGGGATCACCCGGGGTATATCGGGTGATCCCATAGACGTTCGCAGGACTGCCTA